AGGCAGCCGGAGCCTGGGAGGTGCTCTGCGAGTCAGTCCCTGCGTGGCTCTGGGCAGGCCGGTCCCACCCTCTGGGCCTCAGTTTCCCCGGTGGTTTACCCTCCTAGTCGTGTGGTTTGGAAACACAAAGGCCTCCTGGCCCCTGAGGAGGCTGCAGAGCATGAGCGGAGGCCTCTGGAGGCCGGGCCTGGGGCCTGGGGTTAGGAGGACAGTGCAGCCCAACCTTGAAGACCTTGACCCCACGCTGAGGGGTTGGCTGTTGTGCTTTAGAAACAAGAAGCTGGAAGTTTGGGAAGACGGATTGGAGCGGGCGGAGTGGACAGGACGTGGCTGAAGGCTTGGGGGTGCCCTCGGAGGAGGTGCACTCTATTCCGTCCCAGTCAGCCCGTCTGTATTAAGGGCCTGCTCTGGGGAAGACACCCTGCTGAGAGCTGGGGGTGGGGCGGGGCCATCACCATCTCAGGACAGACAGACAGACAGGAAGAGCGCACAGGACAGCCACCCTCTCAGGCCCTTTCTAGCCCCGACGTCCGGAGGGGCTGTGTGTGCAGTGAGGATGCCAGCGAGGGGCGGGGCGGGGCGGTCACCAGGGCCCCCTCGCTCTCGCGCTGGCCCAGAGCAGACGCCCACCGGGTGTGGGAACCGGAACAAGAACTCGATGACCAGGGCAGGGGCCTGGGAACTGGGGGCAGGTGTGACCAATGAAAAGCCCGGAAGATGTGGGGGCAGGGCACACCTCAGGGGTGGGAAGGTATATGTCTGTCTCTCAGAGACGATTCCAGAGGAACACCGCAGGCCGTGTCCCTGGCTGAGTCGCCGAGACGTGCCTTCATCTCCCAGGGCAGCCTCCCAGAGGGAGCCAAGCAGTACACTAACCACAGCACCTCCCCGCCCCCACCCCCGTCTTATTGAAACACCAGAGAGATGAAGTAATGATTTGGCTCTATTTGTGTCTCCCCGTTACCCTCTTAGGGATCGGATGGAGCTCCCGGGAGCTGTGCTCCGAGAGGAACAATTCCCACCGTAGGGGCTGGGCTGGGGACATGGGGTTAGGGTGAGCTAGAAACGGACCCAGGGGAAACGTCTAAGCAGCAGGTGAGGCGAGGAGCCGAGAGATGTGCAATCAGGCCCACGGCAGCGTGTGTGTGCTCGGTGGCCGCGGCCATGGACGCCGCCTGGCCCGTCACGTCTGCATTTTATGGAACTGCCTCCAGGAGCACGCCTCCTGGGACAGACAGAAAGGCTCCCGTGGGTGTTCAGATGCAAAACAAAAGTCGTACATTTTCCCGTTTAATCATCAAATGCAAAACAAAAGTCGTACATTTTCCCGTTTAAAAGTAAATTATTTTAAAAAAAAAAAAAATATATATATATATATATATATTTTATTGATTTTTTACAGAGAGGAAGGGAAAGAGATAGAGAGTTAGAAACATCGATGAGAGAGAGACACCAACCAGCTGCCTCCTGCACACCCCCCACTGGGGATGTGCCCGCAACCAAGGTACATGCCCTTGACCGGAATTGAACCTGGGACCTTTCAGTCCGCAGGCCGACGCTCTATCCACTGAGCCAAACCGGTTTTGGCAAAAGTAAATTCCTTATTAAAATCTGTAGGGCACGGTCATTGACCACCGTATGGGCGTAGGCATTCGTCAGGAACAGCTTTGGGCTGCTAGTTAAGAAAGCCCGAAAGCAGCAGAGGCCTGGGTGAGGTGGAGGCTTGCACTTTCTCCCGGATAAGCAGTCCGGAGTGGGCAGCGCATGCGCATGAGGTGTTCCCTCCCTGCTTAGCACTCGCCTTACACCCTCAGTGTGACTCGTGGTCCCAGAAGCTGCTGAAGCTCCGGCGGTTGTGTCCCTGTCCCAGGCAGAGAGAAGGAACCCAAAGGTCCTGGTGGAGGGGGCACCTTTTTAGGAGTTTTCCAGAAAACACCTCCCTGGGACTCCCGCTTACCTCTCCTTGGCAAGAGAACCTGGGAAGCAGGGCTGGAGGGCAGGGCCCCGTTGGACCCACAACATCCCAGGGCTTCCGTTAGTAAGAGATGGAGACTGGTTAGGCAACTAGCCATCCCTGCCACAGCCCACATGCTATAAAGATTCTCATTTTAGAGGAAGTTGTTAAGAAACGTACGCGCTAGGTTTGTGTCATCAGGTTTCTTATGATCTTCCGGGTGTTCTTAGTTTCTACACAGGCTGAGGCAGCCTTCCCTCTAAACTACCCGAGAAAACCGCCTCAGAAGTCCCTGGAGCCTCCTGGAGCTGGACCCGGGAGAGCCTCTCAGACTCTGAGCGGTCAGTACAGCGTGGGCATCCTCCATCTGGCAGCAAGCACCCAGGGCTGCTGGACCGCGGCGCCCGGGCAGGCTGTGTGCCCGGCGTGTGCTCGGGTCTGCCTGCTGCCAAAGCCCTTGCAGGCAGCTACGGTTCTGGTGGCAGAAATCTGCTTATAACTCACTGGGGAAAAGCCTCCTTCGAGCTTCCGAGAGCTCAGTTCCTGACTCTGCCTCTTGTTTCCCTGGTGGTGAAGCTGAAATCAGAGGGAAGAGCCACGACCATCATCCTCTCTCCGTTTTCTGCCTCGGTAGTTCATCCTTAGCCCTTTCCCTCTGGCTGTGTGCTCACACTGACCCTGTTTCAGGAAACAAAAAATGGTAGTTTCTGCTTCTAGCAGTGGCTGCTGGGGTGTGACGTTAAGAAATAACCACGCTCATATTTACATCTATAACCCCATTTATGTGTGAGCTGAGCCTCGGAAGAGTGGAGATTTGCTGAGAGGGTGGAGTGGGGATTGCAGGCTTGATCTTCAGCTGGGGGCATGCAAGAGGCAGCCAATCCATGATTCTCGCTCTGTCTCTCTCTCCCTCTCCCTTCCTCTCTGGAATTGATTATTTATTTATTTTTTTTAACAAAGGAAAAGAAGATTGAGTGAGAGGGACGACCCAGGCGGTGGAGGCTGTGTGAGTGAGTGTGAGTGTGAGTGTGACCACTGGCCTATTCCAGGAAGGGCAGGCACGTGAACAAGGATCTCTGTTGGCTCTCTGGGTTGGAACAGGTCCTGGCAGCAGCGTAGAAAGGCGAGGAGGTAATGCTGTTAGGCCCCTGGGTATGGATGGCTAACTGCTTCCCGGCAAGATAGCTGCCAGGACCCCGGGGGTCCCCACACCTCTCAGCCTCGTCTATGGTCACTTCAAAAACTCTTCACCAGCTTTCATTTGTTGACGCGGAACATCGTTAAAGAGCTTTTGAAGCTGCTTGTGTTTCTCCTTTGGCGACGTGAACTGCCGACGGATGTGTCTGTGGCCCGTGTATTTATGCAGCAGCAAATACTTACTGGGCGCCAGTCACTCCGGGCAGAATCCCCGGATCTGGGGACACGAGGATGAGCCGGACACCGGCTCTGCCCTGCAGGGAGCCGGCGTTCGGAGAGAGAAGGCAGTGAGCGCAGAGCCCAGGACGGGAGGGACTTGTAAAAAGTCTTTATGGACGTTGGACGGTCACCCTCTGTCCCAGGGTCCCCCCGTTTGTCGTTCGCGTCCTGTGCCCTTCACCCGGCTCCCCCTGACGTCAGCCACTCCCGTCACCGGCGCAGTGGTCACGACGGGGATTAAATCAGTGCAGCGAGGAGCGGAATCACAGGCCTTATTGGGGCCTGACCCGGTCTGGTCTTTTCACTGATGCCCTTTCCCTCTGTCCCAGGACCCCATCCGGGAGTGCCGTAGTGTACTGCGACATTCTTAATTTTAATGCAGTGCCATCAGCTAACTTTTATGGCTCCCTTTGTTGTTATGGAGTCCTTCCCTATCCCGAGATATGGTTGTGTTTTGTTTTTTAAAAATATATATTTTATTGATTTTTCGCCGAAACCGGTTCGGCTTGGGGACTGAAGGGTCCCGGGTTCGATTCCGGTCAAGGGCATGTACCTTGGTTGCAGGCACATCCCCAGTAGGGGGTGTGCAAGAGGCAGCTGATCGATGACTTTCATCGATGTTTCTAACTCTCTATCTCTCTCTCTTCCTCTCTGTACAAAATCAATAAAATATATTAAAAAAATAAATATATTTTATTGATTTTTTACAGAGAGGAAGGGAGAGAGATAGAGAGCTAGAAACGTCGATGAGAGAGAAACACCGACCAGCTGCCTCTTGCACACCCCCTACCGGGGATGTGCCCGCAACCAACGTACATGCCCCTGACCGAATCCAACCTGGGATCTTTCAGTCCGCAGACTGATGCTCTACCACTGAGCCAAACCAGTTTCGGCTTTTTTTTTTTTTATTAATGAGCGATTTCTTTAAACCACCTGCAAAGTGTAGGTTGGAATCGGATTTTTATTTCTCTGAGTCGTTGGGTGTCGGGACAGCTCTCTATAACGGATCCCTCTCTCCCCTGATTTGTGAAGCAATGGCCTAGGGTCTGCTTCCGGCCTCAGATTCCCCTACATCGGTTTTCTATGGACCGCTGTGTCCGTTTCTCAACATTTTGACTGTTATGTCTTTATAGTCTGTTATCCTATCTGGTAGGACAAGACTCCTCTGGCTTTATGAAAATAATATTGCTAAGAATGATGACCCCACTTAAGTGCCCGGTCCTGGGTTGGGCACCACAGAGAAGATATGAACGACCCAGGGCCACCTTCAAGGAAGCCAGTCTCGGGGCAGGAGGCCATGGGAGCCGGGGCCGCTGTGTGCGGGGAGCGGTGACGGGGAGGGGCCGCAGAGCCCGCCCGGAGCAGTCGGGGGCTTGGCCTCCGGAGTCAGAGAAGCAGGAGGGGCGTTTCAGGCAGAAGGAACAGTGTGACCAGAGGATGGAGCTGGGAGGCCGAGGTGTGTTTAGAGGACGAGGTTGTGTTGGAGCTGAGTCCCGGGTGGCCGGCGTGGGAGGAGGGGACCCCCCAGGGGAGGTGGGCCCGGGTCATGGGGGCCTTGGCTACGAGGGAGGCGCTCAGATGATCCCTGTCCCAAGCTCTGGAATTCTTCAACCCCTGACTCTCTTCCCAGGAACATGTTCCCGGCCAACCTGGTCGAAGCCGCATTCAAACAGGTGAGTGGGTCCCCAGGGGACGAAGGGGTGGAGGCAGTGACAGGTTTACCAGCAGGTCTCCCGTCTCCTGGGGGCAGGATGCCAGAGGGGAGGAGGGCAACCGGATCCGTAGAGCCTGCTGGAGCCAGGCCCCTGCTCCGGGCTCCGGCTTTGCCCGAAGAAACCTGGGGGGTGGAGCCGGGTACAGAGTGCTGCTCCCTGGGTGTGAGCGGGCTTCCGCTGCCCCACGGGGCCCCCAGAATAGCCTGCCCTCGGGGGGTTCACCCCTCTCTGGACGAGGAAGCCGAGGCTCAGAGGTTAAAGGGTTTGCCAGAGGTTATACCACTAGTGAAGGGTAGCCTAGTAGGTAAACCTAGGCCAGTTGGCTGCTAAGCCTGTTTTCTGTTTCTTTTTAAAACAACCCCCTACCCCCACCCACCCCACCCAATAAGAACAGAAATAATGTTCCCTAATACTAAAAAAATATAAAACAGCCCTAACCGACTCTCTATCCACGCTCAGTGGATAGAGTGTCAGCCTGCCGACTGAAGGGTCCCAGGTTCGATTCTGGTCAAGGGCATGTGCCACACCTTGCTTGTGGGCACATCCCCAGTAGGGGGTGTGCAGGAGGCAACTGATTGATGTTTCTAACTCTCTATCCCTCTCCCTTCCTCTCTGTAAAAAAAAAAAAAAATCAATAAAATATATTTTTTTAAAAAGAAAAAAAAAATCATATATATATAACAGAAAAATTAAAAATCATCTCTAGTTCCAGCACCTAGCAATAGTGGAAGTAGTTAGTATGCTTCTAGTGTTTTTTTTCTCTAATTAAATATATTTTTATTTATTTTTTATTATTTTTTAAATATATTTTTATTGCTTTTTTAATTTTATTTTATTTATTTATTTATTTATTTATTTATTTATTTATTTATTTTTAAATCAATCTTTATTGTTCATATTATTACAAAGGTTCCTCATTTCTTCCCCCCTCCACCAGGTTCCCACCCCACCCTCTGCCCCCTCCCCATCCCCCATTGTCCTCATCCATAGGTGCAGTTTATGTTCAGTCTCTTCTTCCCTCCCTTTTCCCAATAGTAAGTCCCTTTTCAGATAGTAAATCAGTTACTTAGCATTTTCTCAAATCAATAATACCTCCACATGCCCAATGATACACTTCACACAAAAGACATTTCCCAATAGGTCCACCAGCCTCATCCAGGCCCCACCCAAGGCACTCACAGATCAACACCCCAGCCCTATACTAACTCAACACATCCAGATCTAAGCCTTCATCACTTGATTCAGCAGACCCTCAAGTTCCCACGAAAGTTTCCAGCCATGTCTGAGAGGCAGCCGTGGGGCAGGGGCAGGCAAGGAGCGAGCTGTTCTGGGCCTGGCTGCTCAGGGCCTGGCCTCTGTTGCTCTGGTTCGTTCCGCAACCAGCTGCTCCAGGTCTGGTCACTGCCGCTCCCGACCTAGTTGCTCTGGACTTGGTTGCTGCTGCTCCGGGCCTGGCCGCTCCCAGCCTGGCAGCCGCTGCCCTGGGCCTGGCCGCACCCGACCCGGCTGCTGCTCCGGGCCTGGCCGCTCCCAGCCTGGCAGCCGCTGCTCCGGGCCTGGCCGCACCCGACCCGCCTGCTCCCCCGGGCCCGGCCGCTCCCAGCCTGGCAGCCGCTGCTCCGGGCCTGGCCGCACCCGACCCGCCTGCTCCCCCGGGCCTGGCAGCTCCCAGCCGCTCCCAGCCTGGCAGCCGCTGCTCCGGGCCTGGCCGCACCCGACCCGGCTGCTCCCCCGGGCCTGGCCGCTCCCAGCCTGGCAGCCGCTGCTCCGGGCCTGGCCGCACCTGACCCGGCTGCTCTGGGCCCGGCTGCCCCGGGTCCGGCCGCTCCGAGCCTGGCCACTCCCGACCTGGATGCTCTGGGCTTGGCTACTGCTGTTCTGGGTCTGGCTGCTCCCACCCCGGCTGCTCTGGGCCCGGCTTCTCCGGGCCCGGCCACTCCGGGTCTGGGTGTTCCTGGACTGGCCACCCTGGGCTTGGCCGCCTCCGCCTCATGCCTGGCTGCCACTGCCCCAGGTCTGGCTGCTCCAGTGCTGGCTGTTGATGCTCTGGTTCTGGCTGCTGTTGTTCTGGGGCCTGGCCGTTGCTGCTCCGGGTCTTGCTGCCACTGCCTTGTGCCTGGCCACTCTAGGCCTGGCCGCCGCTGTTCCAACATTCTGTCCTTTTTTTTTTCTTTTTTCTTTTTAAAACGCATTTATGTTGCAATGTTGGCTGGTGAGTTGAGTTCTGACTTAGTCTTTGATTTTTCAAAATCTTCTTTGTATTCTTTCTTAAGTAATTTTACTATTTTTTGCTCTCACTTGATTTCTTCACATTAAGAACTTCTTTGGTTTCTTCCTCCTTGTCCTGGGAGCTCAGCAGGTTGGCCTGTGGCACCCCTTTGTTCTCCTCGGGCTCCTGCACTGCTTCAGCCTGTTGCCGGGGACGGCGCCGCCCAGGAAGCAGCCCCCGGCCTTGGCTCCATTGCCCGAGCTCAGTGGTCAAAGGCTCAGGGGCACCCACGCCCCCAGGGGCCCCGTGGCCCGCCTCCTTGCTGGTGCCCGGTTGGCTGGCGTCCGGCAGGGGCTTCTGCTCCCCTCTGCGTTCCCCCAGCCTGGAGCTTTTTTTTTCTCCTTCCCGCTAGGGGAGTCCAGCATCAGAGTCAACAGACTATCCTCTGCGCGCAGTTTGCGCGAGTCCCGGGGGCCCGGCCTTTCGCCGCTCTCCCCAGACTCCACCTCACAGCCCCGTCTCCCTCTGCCTGAGCCTGGGTCCCCAGGGATTGGCCCAGAACTGGGGTTCGGAGCAGTCCGGACTGAGGCTCAGCGCCGCCGGAGGCCTTGTTTCTTCCGGCTAGGGTAACCCAGCATCAGAGTCAACATTCAGTCCTCTGCGCGCATTGCGCGCGACTCCCGGGGCCCTGCTTTTCGCCGTTTTTCCGCCTCAGAGAGGAAGGGAGAGGGATAGAGAGCTAGAAACATCAATGAGAGAGAAACATCAATCAGCTGCCTCTCGCACACCCCCCGCTGAGAATGTGCCTGAAACCAAGATACATGCCCTTGACCAGAATCGAACCTGGGACCCTTCAGTCTGCAGGCCAGTGCTCTATCCAGTGAGCCAAACCAGTCAGGGCTAAATAACTATATTTTTAAAAATAAAATTAGGATCACAGTGCACACACAGTGTGCATCTTGCTTTTCGCCCCGAATTACCTGGGAGAAAAGATAGGCAGTTCAGTGGCTCAGTTCTTCCCAGCTGGGACCTCATCTGGTCCAGAAGGCCTGGGGCCAGCTGAGCTTTCACACACAGGCCTGCCTTGGAGTTCCTGCAGGGCAGGTTCCGGGGCTCCCAATGAACAGTCACCTGTTTGCTGGTGGAGGCTTTTGCTTTCAATTCATAACAAACAATCAAACATCTGTGAAGCGCCATAAAGCAAGGCTCAGTGATGTGAGGCTTGCCCAGAGAAGGTCCAGGTTTCCATCAGTGGGAGGTACAGTGGCTGGCTGCTAGGTGGGTGGGTGATGGTTTGCTGGAGGGATAGCTGGGTGAATGAAGAGTTACCTGGATGGGTAAAGAGAGAGATTAGACAGACAGAGGGGACCCAGAAGGGGGTGATGATGCTTAGAAGGAAGAAGAGGGAAGAAGGGATGAATACAGGAGTGGCTGGTTAGTGTGTAGATGAATGAAGGGAGCCGTTTTCTTTTTGGTAAAATATTGATAATAATCCCTGTCCTGCCTACCTCACGGGGTTATTGTCAATCAAATAGTTCATGAGTGACCAAAACCAGTTTGGCTCAGTGGATAGAGCATCGGCCTGCGGACTGGGGGGTCCCGGGTTCAATTCCGGTCAAGGGCATGTACCTTGGTTGCGGGCACATCCCCAGTGGGGGGTGTGCAGGAGGCAGCTGATTGATGACTCTCTCTCATCGATGTTTCTAACTCTCTATCCCTCTCCCTTCCTCTCTGTAAAAAAATCAATAAAATATTTAAAAAAAAATAGTTCATGAGTGGATACAAATGCACTTCCAAGATGTTGTTGTTGTTGTTGATATTTATAACAACATTGGCCCTGACTCCTTCCTGGTTGGGTGTCGCCCACCAGTACCGCACCAAGACCACGCCCGTGGCCAAGGCCCCCAAGGCGGCACCGGAGGCGGCCCCTTCTCAGCGGGGCCTCATCTATGAGGTCCAGGAAGAGAACGGCTCTCACGTGCAGCACTTCGCTCTGGACCTGACCCCGCCACCCGAGGTCATCTACAAGTCAGAGCCTGGCACCAGCGATGGCATGAACGTGCTGGGCATCGTCATGTTCTCTGCCACCATGGGTATGTGCTGCCCACCCACCCAGCAGTGCCAGGGAGCCGGGTCCTCCTCGCACCTCCCCTGCCTGCCCTCCCCCTGCCTGCACCTCCCCCACCCTGCACCTCCTCCTGCCTGCACTCCCCCTGCCTGCACCTCCCCCTGCCTGCCCTCCCCCTGCCTGCACTCCCCCTGCCTGCATCTCCCCCTCCCCACACCTCCCCCTGCCTGCACCTCCCCCACCCTGCACCTCCTCCTGCCTGCACTCCCCCTGCCTGCACCTCCCCCTGCCTGCCCTCCCCCTGCCTGCACTCCCCCTGCCTGCCCTCCCCCTGCCTGCACTCCCCCTGCCTGCATCTCCCCCTCCCCACACCTCCCCCTGCCTGCACCTCCCCCTCCCCGCACCTCCCCCTGCCTGCCCTCCCCCTGCCTGCACCTCCCCCACCCTGCACCTCCCCCTGCCTGCCCTCCCCCTGCCTGCACCTCCCCCACCCTGCACCTCCCCACACTGCACCTCCCCCTGCCTGCACTCCCCCTGCCTGCACCTCCCCCACCCTGCACCTCCCCCTGCCTGCACTCCTCCTGCCTGCACCTCCCCCACCCTGCACCTCCCCCACCCCGCACCTTCCCCTGCCTGCACTCCCCCTGCCTGCACCTCCCCCTCCCCGCACCTCCCCCTGCCTGCACTCCCCCTGCCTGCACTCCCCCACCCTGCACCTCCCCCACCCTGCACCTCCCCCACCCTGCACCTCCCTCACCCTGCACCTCCCCCTGCCTGCACCTCCCCCACCCTGCACCTCCCCCTGCCTGCACCTCCCCTTCCCTGTCCCTCCCCCTCCCCGCACCTCCCCACCCCGCACCTCCCCCTGCCTGCATCTCCCCTGCCTGCATCTCCCCCTCCCCACACCTCCCCCTGCCTGCCCTCCCCCATCCTGCACCTCCCCCACCCTGCACCTCCCCCACCCTGCACCTCCCTCTCCCTGCACCTCCCCCACCCTGCACCTCCCCCACCCCGCACCACCCCCTCCCTGCACCTCCCCACCCTGCACCTCCCCCACCCCGCACCTCCCCCTCCCTGCACCTCCCCACCCCGCACCTCCCCCTGCCTGCACCTCCCCCACCCTGCACCTCCCCCTGCCTGCACTCCCCCTGCCTGCATCTCCCCCTCCCTACACCTCCCCCTGTCTGCACTCCCCCTGCCTGCACCTCCCCCACCCTGCACCTCCTCCTGCCTGCACTCCCCCTGCCTGCATCTCCCCCTCCCGACACCTCCCCCTGCCTGCACCTCCCCCTCCCTGCACCTCCCCCACCCTGCACCTCCCCCTGCCTGCACCTCCCCCTGCCTGCACCTCCCCCACCCTCCCCTTCCCCCTCCCTGCACCTCCCCCTCCCCACACCTCCCCCTGCCTGCACCTCCCCCTGCCTGCACCTCCCCTGCCTGCACCTCCCCCACCCTGCACCTCCTCCTGCCTGCACTCCCCCTGCCTGCATCTCCCCCTCCCCACACCTCCCCCTGCCTGCACCTCCCCCACCCTGCACCTCCCCTGCCTGCACCTCCCCCTGCCTGCACCTCCCCTGCCTGCACCTCCCCCTGCCTGCACTCCCCCTGCCTGCACCTCCCCCACCCTGCACCTCCCCCTGCCTGCACTCCCCCACCCTGCACCTCCCTCTCCCTGCACCTCCCCCACCCTGCACCTCCCCCTGCCTGCACCTCCCCCATCCTGCACCTCCCTCTCCCTGCACCTCCCCCACCCCGCACCTCCCCCTGCCTGCACCTCCCCCTGCCTGCACCTCCCCTGCCTGCACCTCCCCCACCCTGCACCTCCTCCTGCCTGCACTCCCCCTGCCTGCATCTCCCCCTCCCCACACCTCCCCCTGCCTGCACCTCCCCCACCCTGCACCTCCCCTGCCTGCACCTCCCCCTGCCTGTACCTCCCCTGCCTGCACCTCCCCCTCCCTGCACCTCCCCCTGCCTGCACTCCCCCACCCTGCACCTCCCCCACCCTGCACCTCCCCCTGCCTGCACTCCCCCACCCTGCACCTCCCTCTCCCTGCACCTCCCCCACCCTGCACCTCCCCCTGCCTGCACCTCCCCCATCCTGCACCTCCCTCTCCCTGCACCTCCCCCACCCTGCACCTCCCCCTGCCTGCCCTCCCCCTGCCTGCACCTCCCCCATCCTGCACCTCCCTCTCCCTGCACCTCCCCCACCCCGCACCTCCCCCTGCCTGCACCTCCCCCTGCCTGCACCTCCCCTGCCTGCACCTCCCCCACCCTGCACCTCCTCCTGCCTGCACTCCCCCTGCCTGCATCTCCCCCTCCCCACACCTCCCCCTGCCTGCACCTCCCCCACCCTGCACCTCCCCTGCCTGCACCTCCCCCTGCCTGCACCTCCCCTGCCTGCACCTCCCCCTGCCTGCACTCCCCCTGCCTGCACCTTCCCCTCCCTGCACCTCCCCCACCCCACACATCTCCCACCCTGCACCTCCCCCACCCCGCACCTCTCCCTCCCTGCACCCACCCCACCCTGCACCTACACTGCTGCATCCAGCACCCTGAGTAACCTAGAACCTGCCATCTTCCAGGCCCGTGGTCCGCAAACCTGCTCACGAGCCACATGCGGCTCTTTGGCCCCTTGAGTGTGGCTCTTCCACAAAATGCCACGGCCTGGGCGAGTCTGTTTTGAAGAAGTGGCGTTAGAAGTTTAAGTTTAAAAAATTTGGCTCTCCAAAGAAATTTCAGTCGTTGTGCTGTTGACATTTGGCTCTGCTGGCTGATGAGCTGGCCGGCCACTGTTCCAGGCGGTTCCTTCCTTTCCCATCCAGGGCCCCGGTCCACCCCCCGGAGCCAGTCCCTCACAGAACACCCGGCCTCCGGCCACTCCCGTCCCTGAACTTTCACTGAGGTCTGCGAACACGGGAGGGGAGGAGGCAGTCACAGTAAAAAAACAGGAGAAGTCTAAACACTCTCAGCCGTCACTGTCATTCAGAGCCCTTATTCCTCCTCCCACCCCAACCTCGGGGCTTCCCCCCTGCCCCCCCAGACATGGCTGTGCCCTTCTCAGGCCCACAGTCTGCCTCCCTGACCACACCCTCCCCTTTGCTCCTCCTCTCTGGGTCTCTGGGTCTCTGGGCCCCAACCACAGCCTACTTAACTTGAAACTGGCGAAGCTTATCTTGCACAGGCCCTTCTGAGGCCTGTACCTTTAATATAGAATATTCTTTTTCTTAAAGAGGGTCCCAAACTATAAGCTTCAGATCCCACAAACCCAGGGATGTGTCTGCCTGCAGTGACCCAACCCACCCTCCACCACACACACACACACACACACACACACACACACACACACACACCCCTTTTCCTTTGGGGCGGCACCTCCTAACCATCCGGAACAATCTAGCTTGTCCTTCCAGGCTATGCCAGGGGTCATTAAGAGTCTTATTCTAAAATTGGCATGAACCCTCCCATCACCCCAGCCAAGGGCCTGGGAATTCCTCTGCTGCTCCCCTGACTTCTCCACACGGCTTCCTTCCTTCCTTCCTTCCTTCCTTCCTTCCTTCCTTCCTTCCTTCCTTCCTTCCATCCTTCTGGTTGCTCACAGCAAGAAATCCGGGGTCACTTTCTACCTCAGCCCACACCCACAGCCCGTCAGGCAGCCTCTGAAATCTGCTCCAATCCCTCGTTTCCCTCTGCCCACCGCCATCACCCTGGTCCAAGGCCCCCATCCTCCCTCACCTGGTTTCAGCAAAAGCTGCCTGAAGAGTCCCCTGTCCTGGTGTGCCCCCCTCATGGGGTCAAAGTCCTGCTTCAGGCCTCCAGTGCTCTCCACTCCACCGGGAAAGGGGCCCCACACTACGGCCTGGGAGCGCCTAGCGACCTGGCCCTCAGACTCCTCTGGGTCCCGCTCACTCCCTGCTCCAGCTGCCGGAAGACCCCTCCCTGAGAACCTCCCACTTCCTCAGCCTGCCTGCTCCGGGCCCCTCCTCTCCCCTGCACCTTTCTCATCCTTGAGGGTGGTAGTAAAGGGGTGCGGGGGGTGTGACTCTTTATAAGATTACATCCTCAGGAAAGTCTTCCCAACACCCCAGATGGTCATGTGCCCTGGGTTACTCCTTAAGCTTTTGACCTACTGCAGGTATGTAGCTGCTGGTGTAATTGTTTAACGTCTGTGCAGCAGCTGCTGTAAGCTCTTTGTGGGAGGAGACAGATCTGGCTTGTCCTCCATCTATCCCCACAGCCCACCCACCACAGAAGCCGGTGCTCAGCAAAACTGTTGGAGAGATGGGTGGATGGGTGGGTAGGTGGGTGGGTGGGTGGGTGGATGGGAGGATGATAGGTGGGTGGATGGATGGATGGGAGGATGATAGGTGGGTGGATGGATGGGTGGATGGGTGGATGGGAGGATGATAGGTGGGTGGATGGATGGATGGGAGGATGATAGGTGGGTGGATGGAGGGGTGGATGGTGGGTGGATGGATCGGAGGATGGATAGGTGGATGGATGGGTATTCATAAGTAATGGAGCTCTTATCATCTTGGCCAAAATGCCAGGCATGCAGAGGGGCCAGGACCTTAGTAACCTAAGTGTGTGGCAAGATGGTGTTTGGAAGTGTGTTTAGAACATCTAACAACTAGTCCCCAATCCTGAACATTCTTCCTCCTCTCAGCACTGCCTCCCTCAGGGCTGAAAACACATCAAAAGGACATCTATTGGCAGAGCAAAGAAACCCCTGAGACCCTGTGACTCAATTCCCAAAATGTTTACTGACCATGTGTAATTGTCCATGGATAAGTGTCTATGTGTGTATGCGTTCCCAAGCCCAAGACTGTGTGTACCCGTGTCCATGTGTGCCCACATATGTAGTGCTCATGCCAATGGGTGCCCACAGCTGCTCACTCAGACGGCTGCTCCAAACAGGGCTCTCTTTGGTCCCCTCAACCCAGCCTCCGTCGCCAGCTTCTCCCTGGCGTTGGGATGCCGCTGATGCTAAGGCCCACCCTGGGCCCATGCACACGAACACCCGGCCAACCAGAGCCCTTAGGGGACCCCAGGGAACCTGAGCGGAGGCTGATGAGGGGCAGGGATACCGTGGGCAGGGACAGAGCCAGCAGGGGACTTGGGTCTGAGTTCACTTAGGCTTCCACAGGCCGATGGGCAGGCCTAGGCCAATGTCACCTGCAACTCGGGCCTCTCCCGTGCCAGCAGAGCCCCCACCTCATCCCAGTGGTGGCTGGTCGGAGGACGGTGGGTTCAGGGCTTCCTGGGGTAGGGAAAGAGCTCTCTCTGGAGCCCCATAGGCCAGGTTCACACTCCTGCCCTGCCCTCCCCTCCCGGGCTGAGTCGGCCAGTGAGCCTGTCTGAGCACAGCGTCCTGAGGGCAGCACAGTATGTTTTGCTCTTCATTTTGTGTCCACGGAAGGGAGAGCGGTCACTCATCCCTCTTGAGAGAGTGGCCTGACTGTGCTCACTTCCATGGAGCTCCCCGGGGACTAGGACACATACGAACGCTTCCCAAGTAGAGGAGAGTCCAGAACCCCAGAGGGACTTTGGGAAAAGCCTTTTCATTCGTTCATTCATTCATTCATTCAAAGGTTATTGCTGAGCATCTACCCCGTGCCAGCTGAGACACTGTTCTTGCCCTCGTGGAGCTAATCTTCTAAATGGAGGAAACGGAAAAACCATGGACAACTGGAGAATAACAGTTATAAGTTGTGATAAACGACAGGAAGGGACCGAAAGAGATGAGACAGATAAAAACAAATTGGCAGTTTTCGGAGGGGAGTGGGGATGGGCGTCGGAGGCGTGTGGGGAGCTGGGAACCACATGGCGAAGTCCCTGAGGCTGCGAAGAGCCTGATGGAGTCCAGGAGTGTGAAGAAGGCCAGGGAGGCCGGAGCAGGGCGAGGAGGGCAGGCGCAGGGCCAGGTGGAGGCGGGAGGTGCAGCTCTGGGTCAGACAGGGGTCAGGTCAGGTGCGGCCGGAGCATGGGGAGCTAGGTGATGGTCTAGGTTAGCGTTTCCCAAAGTGTGGTGCGCGTACCCCCAGGGGTACGGGAAGAATTTGGGGGTGGGGGGGGTACGCATTGCGCCGGAGTTTGGTGGGGATATGCACTGCACCGTGCTTAGCTGCGCCTAATTCTACGTTCTCATGAGTACAAGGGGTACTCCGCGTTACGAAATGATAGAAGGGGTACACCTGTGTCAAAAGTTTGGGAAACACTGGGCTGGGTCATCAGGGAAGCCAGTGTTTGGCAGGGAGCGTTCTTATCTTAAGAAGATGACACTGGGGCTGTGTAGGAAATGGGTCAGAGAGAAGGAAGACACCAGAGCCCTGTTGCGAGGTTGCTGCCCTGGTCCAGGGGTGAAGGTTGAGGAGAGGGAGGGGAACACTGTGCATGGAGGCTGCTGGGAAGTCAGCCAAGGCGAGAGTCATGTGTGCATGGGGGCCTGTCCCTGCCTGCCCCCAGCCTGTCGGCACGAGTGGGCATCACCTTGGCCTCGGCCTGTGCCACCTGTGATCCGCTCGCGTGTCCCTGCCCCTGCAGGCATCATGCTGGGTCGCATGGGTGAGAGCGGGGCGCCCCTGGTCAGCTTCTGCCAGTGCCTCAATGAGTGCGTCATGAAGATCGTGGCAGTGGCTGTGTGGTAAGCCTGGCTGGCGTGGGGGTGTCCTGTCCTACCTCACCCCCTCCACTCCTGTCCCGGGCAGACAGAGGGACCCCTGGTCCCACCCTTTGTTCTCCTAGGAGTGAGCTGCCCAGGAGGCCGAGCCCTGGCCGGGCCTGCAGAGTCACACGTGCTCCCCTGCTCCCAGCCCCGACCAGGCCTGGTTCCAGCCCCGGGCCTGCCACTCCTGGCCCGGTCAGGCCCGCTGCGGGAGAGCCCAGCGCCGAGCCTGGCCTGCTCTCCTGGCCCCGTTTCCCCATCACATGGAGCTCATCAGCTGAGCTTTTGGAGGAAGGGAACTCTGCAAGTGAGAACCAGCTGCCACCCCTTGGAGCAGAGCTCAGACCTAAGACATGGTTTCCATGGGGCAGTGTGGAGGCCTGTCCCAGCTCCCGCAGAGGCAGTGGCACTGCTGGGTTCAAGCATGGGCCTGCAGGGGGCAGGCGTCCTCCTCAGAGGCCTGGGCAGGAAGGCAGGGGCGTGAGAGGTTGTGCAGGGCTGGTTGAGGGTGGAGGTATCAATCATGCCATGTTCTGGGCACCTTGGCACCCAGTCTCATTCACGCTCAGGGGGCCCTGGCGGGCTCAGGGGGAACAGGCCAGGCAGCGATGCAGTGCCAGGGCTGCCTGGGACCCTCGCCTGCCTGCCCGGCACCGAGCTGGCTGCCCTGCCCCCACCACAGGTACTTCCCCTTCGGCATCGTGTTCCTCATCGCCGGCAAGATCCTGGAGATGGACGACCCCACGGCCGTGGGGCAGAAGCTGGGCTTCTACGCCGTCACCGTGGTGTGCGGGCTGGTGGTCCACGGCCTGCTCATCCTGCCCCTGCTCTACTTCTCCATCACCAGGAAGAACCCCCTCGTCTTCATCCGGGGCGTCCTCCAGGCCCTGCTCATCGCCCTGGCCACCTCCTCCAGGTCCGAGCGGGTGCCATCAACCCCGCCCACCTGTCCAGCCATCATCTGTCCGTGGCCACAGGCTCAGAGAAGTGCCAGTCAGTCAGGCCTGCTCCCCACCCTGGGGGGGGGGGGGGGGCGGGGTAGCTATGGTAACAAGACCCATCTTTGAAATGTCCTGCTTGAGGTCCCAACTGCCCGAATGGCAGAAAGCCTTGGTCACCTCCTGAGGCCTTCCCCTCCCTCAGTCCACCCCGGGGGTCGGCGTCCACGCACACAGTCGCCCTCGGCCACCTGCCCGACAAGAAGCACAACCTGGGGCCCAGCAAGAGGGAGCGGGGTCCCCGGGCAGGGGCCTGGGGGATGGGAAGGGCACTGCAACCACCAACCCAGGTACTGGCCCCAGCGCTGCTGCCAGGAACTCCGGTAACAAAACAGTGACAGCACTAGCAGCTACCATTGCCGGAGTACTTAGTACCTAGTACTGTTCTGAGCGCTGGCTCGTTAAATCGCCCTAACAGTCGAGTCCAGGTATTCTCCCGTCCTGGGACGAGGAACCCAGGACACACACAGGTTAAGGACCCCCCTACCCCTGGCTAATGGGAGGCTGGAGTCTGACCCCAGCAGGTCCAGCCCAGAGCCCTGCTGCGAACCACTTCGACGCCTGGCACAGCAGTGTGACTTCAGCCCCTCCCCCTCCCTCTGGGCTTCAGTTTCTCCATCTGTAAAATGGACTCGGAAGCCACGAGGATCAAAAGAGAGTGTGTGTGAAGCCTGGTACCGGTGCATAGTGGGATTCTGCTGGTGGAAGTCCCTTCCGGACCTGGTGTAGGGGGAGGGGGTGGTCTCGGAGGCCCAGGGCCTGGGTAGGCCTGGCTCGGGCGCCGTCCCACACGCCCACAGGGACTGTTTCCAAGGCCCCTCCAGCCCGTTCTCCCTGCAACGGGCGGCCGCCTGGGGCGGAGCGAGCTTCCCGCCGCCGGCAGGAGGCAGCTCGGAGCCCCCGACCGTCCTGGAGGGGGGTGGAGGGCAGACACGGGCCCCTCTGCCCACAGCTCGGCCACGCTGCCCATCACCTTCAAGTGCCTGCTGGAGAACAACCACATCGACCGGCGCATCGCCCGCGTCGTGCTGCCCGTGGGCGCCACCATCAACATGGACGGCACCGCGCTCTACGAGGCGGTGGCCGCCATCTTCATCGCCCAGGTCAACAACTACGAGCTGGACTTCGGCCAGATCGTCACCATCAGGTGCCCCGGCCCGGGGGGTGGGCTCGGGGTGGAAGGGCGACTCCTGGGAGGGCCTGGAGGATGCTAAAGCGTAAGGGGACCGGACATCCTGCTTTGGGCGGGACAGTCAGTCCCGATTTTTAACAATTTGTCCCGCGTCCGTCCCGCATCATTTTAAAAAAGGATCTTTCCAAAAATCGGGACTTTTTTTTAAAACGCCGCGGGCCGCGGGACAAATTGTGGAAAATCGGGACTGTCCCGCCAAAAGCTGGAAGTCTGGTCCCCTTACCAAAGCTTCCGGATCTGATAGGGTCTCGGAGGCCCAGAGAAGGTGAGGGGGCTCCTTTTAGGCCACCCAGCACGGGGGCGCTGGGGTGGGGCCATGCCCTGATCTCTGGGACTGTGGCACAGCCTCCCTCCCCCGCGCTGCCCTGCAGGGCGGGAGCTGGGACCCAGAGGAGGGCCTGAGCCTGGGCACACAGGGCAGAGGGGGGCAGAGGCCGGGGCGGGACACTGGAGGGCTGCTGGTGCGGCGAGGGCAGGGTGCTGACGTGAGGGACAGAGGCGGAGGGGCCTCACACCCCGGCCTGACCCTGGGGACCAGGCCCCCGAGGGAGGCTGGGCAGAGCTGCGCCGGTGGACACTCAGAATCTCTGGGCGGCTTCCTGGAAGCCTTCCTGGCCACGGCTCCAGGCACAGGGTTTCCCACAAATTCCTCAGGGGTCCTGCTGAGGCCAGGTGTGGGGCCCATGGGGCTATAGGGCCTCAAGCAGGAACATGCCCCCTCCTCCCGCCCCAAGAACTCCTTGATGTGGACTTCCTAACGACCCTGCCCCCTTGGGCCGGTCCCAGAGGCGCCGGCATTCTGGAGCGAGGGTCCCAACGAGGCAGCCTGCCCTCCTGCTCCTCTCCTCCCCCCTCCCCTCCCCTCTGCAGCATCACGGCCACCGCCGCCAGCATCGGGGCCGCGGGCATCCCCCAGGCCGGGCTCGTCACCATGGTCATCGTGCTCACCTCCGTGGGCCTGCCCACCGACGACATCACCCTCATCATCGCCGTCGACTGGGCTCTGTGAGTGGGGTTCCCCCCTCCACGCCCCCCTCCTCCCCCCCAGGCAGCAGGCTCTGGGGGTCGCAGGGAAAGCGCCCGACGTTGGCCCAGCTTCCTGGAGACCTACAGCGGCCACGGCTCTGGCCCAGCTGCCTAATCTGTAGAGCCCAGTTTTCAAAACCCCTCCTTCGCCAGAAACAAAAATGTGGGGTCCCTTGCTTACAGTTAAAAGGGATTACAAGAGGGTGAGAGCAACCGTGAAACCAAGCCTGGGCCCTTTTTTTAAAAATATATTTTATTGATTTTTTTTACAGAGAGGAAGGGAGAGGGAGAGTTAGAAACATCGATGAGAGAGAATCATGACCCGCTGCCTCTTGCACACCCCCTGCTAGGGATGTGCCTGCAACCAAGGTACATGCCCTTGACCAGAATCAAACCTGGGACCTTTCAGTCTGCAGAGCAACACTCTATCCACTGAGCCAAACAGGTTTCGGCAAGCCTGGGCCCTTCTTAGCACGGGCCCTGAGCGACTGTCCGGCCACAGGCCCGTGGAGCCCGCCCTGCATCATCCAACCTCCTCCACGTCCCTGAGGGAGCTGAGATGTTGGGGACAGCGCCTCTCTGTGGCTCTGCCCTGGCAGCGGGTGCCCACAGGGGCTGCTGGGCCGGGCGCTGCCCTCTCCCGGCTCCCTTGACCAGCGCCCACCGCTCGCCGCCCCCCAGGGACCGCTTCCGCACCATGATTAACGTGCTGGGCGACGCGCTGGCCGCGGGGATCATGGCCCACATCTGCCGCAAGGACTTCGCTCCGGACACGGACACCGAGGTGAGAGCAGTGCCCCCCTGCCCCCGGCCTGGCCACCCAAAGGCCCTGGAGGGTGGGGCCCAGTGGGATGGACACCAATCTTCCATCTGGGGAGCCATCAGCCTATCCCTGCAGCCTCCCTGCCTCAACTTCTCACCTGGTACCCGGTGACTAACTCCTCTCACCGCTATGGCTGAGCCCCCACCACGGCTGGCTCTGCTACAGACACAGGAACGAAGGAAGCCGGAGCCCTGCCCTCGGGGAGCCGTGCCCAGGCGTGGGTGGTGCTGCCACAGCAGTGCCAATGTTTGCACATCGCACGGGCTTCGTGGTCTTAGGGCTCCTCCAGTGACCAGAGCAGCAGGCGGCCCCCTCCACCAGGAGGACGCTGAGGCCCAGGCAGGGGCCCGGTTCCCGCACGGACCCTGTGGGCCAGGTCCCCTCCTCTCCCACGACAGCCACAGGCGGTGGCCGGGCGACCCGGAGGGGCCCCACGGCCTGCCCAGGTCCACAGCCCAGCCCTCGCTCAGTGCGCCCTCCCCGGGGCCTGCCCTCGGCCCCTCCACCTGCCACCACCCTGTCTCCCTCCTCAGAAACTGCCGCCCTGCGAGACCACGCCGGTGAGCCTGCAGGAGATCGTGGCCGCCCAGAGGAACGGCTGCGTGAAGAGCGTGGCCGCAGCCTCCGAGCTGACCCTGGGCCCCGCCTGTCCCCACCACGTCCCCGTCCAGGTGCAGCAGGACGAGGAGCCGCACGAGGAGCCGGCTGCCGCCAGCCCGGACCACTGCACCATAGAGATCAGCGAGCTGGAGACCAACGTCTGAGCCTGCGGAGCCGCAGGGGCGGGGCCGGGGCGGGGAGGGGGGCTCCAGGGGTGGAGCAAAGGGAAGGATTCCAATGTCCTGCTCTCCGGAGCAGACAGGGCCAGCCTCGCACACTCTGCCCGCCCTGGGGGCTCCGAGTGAGCCCCACTTGACCGGAACTGGAGTCTTGGAGGGGAACCCAGCGGGGGGCCTGGTGGGCCGGCGGGGCCCAGCCCTGGCTGGGACTGGCCGTCACGTTGCCGGTGAGGACAGCAGGCAGGCAGGGGTGATGGTCCCTCTTTTCTGGGCGGCAGGGTTAAGGCTGAGCACAGTTACCCCAGACCGCAGAGCCAGTCGGGGCTAGGACTCCAACGCAAGCCTTCCAAGCCCTGAAGCCCTGGCCGCGCCCTCCTGGGGGCAGGGGCACCTGCAGGATCAGATGCCAGGAGAGGCTCTAGGCCCTGCCCTGTCTCAGGGCCCCGCAGCCACCACTGCTTTCCATTTACAAAGACATAACAACAGCGCCCTGGGTCTGCCCCAGCCCCACAGCATGTGGCTGCACACAGCCCTCCCCAAAGGGCCCCGCCAGGAGCACGGCCTGCTGCCTTCCGTGTGCCACGGCCCGTCTCGTCTCACATCCCTCCAGGCTCTCTCGCAAAGCTCCTCTGAGGTGGAGATGGGGCCCTTGGAAACCTGGGGCCTGGGCCAGTGGGACCCCGGAACGGGCTCGCCTGGGACACTCTGATCAAGCTGCCCAGGTGGCTCTGGAGCCAGGACTCCCCAAAGCCGGTGGGATAAAGTGGAGTTAGGTTTTATACTCTTTTCTGTGTTTGCAAACTCAGAGGTAACTCCATAAAGGTGTTTTTGTTTTCCAACTTCTGAGGACTTAGTAACCAGACTCTGGCCAGCGCTTCCTCACGGAGCTGACACAGGCTGTCGCCGTGCAGACCGGCCGGTCTGGGCAGCCGGAGCGTGGACAGGCCCGTCCAGGTGGCCAGACAATCCGCAGGCTTGTCCTTGTGGCTAGAATGCAGGCGGCCTGTCTTGGCTGTCGGCGTGTGGACAGGCCTGCGGGGAGGCCAGGGCGCAGAGGTGCCGCCGGGCTGGCCACGGCGAGGACAGGCCTGTCGGAGCTGTCACACGCAGGAGGCCGAGTGCAAACCGGCCTGCGGGCGGGGGCCGTCGCGACAGCCAGGGTGGACAGATCGCTCTGTCGCTAGCCTGGGCTTGGCTCTGCAGGAAGGGCCCTGCGACCAGTCCCCACAAAAGGAACAATTTCTTCAGCCAGCTGGGCTCCCTTCGGCAAGTGACATGCCCAAGGACAGTTCCAGTCTGTGTCCTTGGTTCTCCTCAGCCCCAGGGGCTTCCAGGAGGCGGGGGGGGGGGGGGGGGAGAAGAGATGAATTCTGGCCACACAGCCTGCTGTGGGTGCACTTTGGGGAGAAGATACAGCTCTGGGGGGGGGGGGGGGACTGGGGGGCTTGCACATTGAAGCCAGGGGAGGAACAGGCCTCCCAAGGTCACTCAGAGAATCAAGAGGACACCTCCCTCCCAGTGCCCAGTTCCTGAACTACTTCCCACCCTCCTCCCAGGGCCTGACTCCAGGACCCCCCTCCCACTATGGAAGCATCCTCCCTTCATAAGGATAAGCAGCTAGGAGAGGTCAGATGTCAAGCTCCGGCCCCTCCCACCGTCAGGTCTCAGGCCCTCTGAGCCGCGGAGTCTGCCCCACCACGGGCAGGCGCCTGCTCCTGACGGGGCTCGGCAGGATGTGCTTACACCCCTAGGAGCGGGCCGCCAATCCCGGGCATCCATGCAGGGCAGCGCTGCCTGTCAGAGGCGCTCCTCTGCTCTGAGCAGGTGCCGCCGCCCCCACCACACCCCCTCCCAGCCCTGGCCCTGTTGGGGTGGCAGGCACCCTGGGCATGCCTGCACCTCCTCCCAAGGCTCTGCTGTGGCTCCCAGGCCTGTCTCAGCCCCCCTCCCCGCCAGCTGTCCTCTACGGGACAGACCCCATTGGGAATGCCCACTCCGTGCACAGGCGAGCCCTGGGCACCCTCTAGGTGAGCCCCGAGCCGTCTGAAGCCAGGCTCGGATGCTCGGCCTCCGGGGTGCACAGTGAGCTCACAGACCCGTGTGGTCCTGCCAGACCTGTGACCCCGCCCTGCTGATGGGCCCCACATGCCTCAGGCTGGCTTGCCTGTGACCACACCCTTGGTCCCCAGACCTCTGCCTAAGGGCCATTTTGTTGGCTCCAAGAGCTGAACTTTGCTCTGACTCCTGCTGGTCCGGACAGGTGCTGAGATGCTTGCATCCTGCCCCCCCCCCCCCCCCCCCCCGGCCGGGTGCCAGCTCCGCTCCTGGCAGGAAGCACACACAGACACAGCCACGGGCTGCCAGACAGGGCTAATGCTTTTATATTAGTTTTTCTGTAGGGAAAAAAAAAAAATCCGTTTTGAGGTTTTCATCACTCTTTTCTTTTTACAAAAAAGGTGCCCAGCACTCCCTGCAAGCCCAAAGAATAAAAATGGTGTTTCCTGGGTGGGTGGGGCCGGATCTTCCTCATTCAGCCCGGCGCCAGGACCTCCATCTCTCTCCCGCCCGTGGCCCCTGGCGGCCCCGGGAGAACTGCCCTCTGGCCTGGCCCACCCAGACGCGCCCGGCCGGCCAGGGCGCGGCAGGGAGTGACTCCCCCAGCGGCTGGGAGCCGGGCGGGTGGGGCCGGGCCAGCAGTCCTGAAGGTTCCTGTCCCCGAAGGCAGGGAAGAGGAACAAAAGCCAGCTTTTGTGAGTTCCGGAGGGTAGCAGGCACCGGGCCGCAGGGAGCTCGGACGTAACTCTGTCTTCTCCAGAGGATGGACAGACGGACGGACGGGCGGACGACACGATGTTCTGGCCCCTTCTGGCCGGGGCAAGAGCTGTTGGTGGCATTGGCCAAGGAGGGCCGTTTGCCCGTGACTGTGTGTGTATGTGTGTGTGTGCGTGTGCGCATGTGTGTGGGCGGGGTAGGAAGTGTGAGCCTGTGTATGCCAGGATCGGGTCAGGCCTTCCCCTGAATGTGTGTGGTTCAGAGGGAGCGATGGGGGGATGGGGCGGGGAGAGTGGGCCCTTTGGAGGGCGGTGTGCAGCGGGCTGGGTGTAGGTGGGTCATGGTATCTGCGAGCGTCCGGCTGTGGCACAGACCGCAGGAAGGTGTGGAGATGGGAGGCCGTGTGTTCGGCTGTGTTGGGGGTGTGGGGTGCAATGCTGGGTGTGTCGAGGGGGGCAGAGTGGCGGCTCACAGGGCACAGGCACGTGCTGCAGAAAGGGGTCCGACATCCATCGTCCTGCAGAACATGGGGGGAGTCAGGGAGGCCAGAGCAGACGCGCCAGCCACAGCCTGCCTGAGGGAGCCCCCTGGGTCAGAGCTGGGGAGCCCCCTTGACAGAGCTCAGGGAGGACCAGGGGGCTGCGGCAGGAGAGGAAGCTGTCCCTGGGAGTTCAGAGCCCGTGGGCGCCACCGGGAGGTGCTCGTGTTGCTGTGGCCGGGCCTGCTGTGGGCCTTTGGGTCCCACTGGACTCAGGGCCTCACCCAGGGCTCTGCTCCGCCCACCTGACCACGGCCAAGAAGGGGCAGCTTCTCTCCCACCCCAGGCCCCTCGTGAGGCCCACAGCATCAGTCACCCCTGCTGGGGACCCCTCCCTCCGCCTTCCTAGCCCTGGACCCCGGAGTAGAAAGATGGCTCCTGAGCACTGCCCCAGGCCTGCCCTCCGCTCACACCGCTGCCCCTAGCACCCTCTTCTCCCCGCTGCCATCCGCCCCTGGGGCCTCACACCCCTCGGGTTCCTTTCTGCCCCAGGCCCTACTTCAATTCAACTTCCCAAATCATGGCCTCCCAGAACCACACCCTGGCCCTGACCCCTAGCCTGGCTCACCCTGATATCGCTCTAACCGAACCTCTCCGCTGGCTCCTCGCCACCCCCTGCCCTCTCCGACATCCCCCTGCCAGCCCCGCCTGTCTGCACCTCCTTCCCTCCCAGCCCAGCCTCCGGACCCAGCACCGCAGACAGTCTCTTGCCCATGCCCTCCATTTCCTGGTTCCTTGGCCTCCTGTCCCGCACACCTGGTCAAGCCCAGCCATGGGTGGATCCCACTGTCCATCTTCACTCACACCCACCACCGTCTGCTGAGCACCTGCTGCCGCCGAGAATACACAAGGCCGCAGGCACCTGGCCGGCGTGACTTTGTGTCCAGCCATCAAGCCGCTAGCCTGTGACGGCAGCTGCTCAGTCCCTGTCCATCCTCCACAGCAGGAGCGCCGACCCCCCCTCAAAGCCAGGCCTCCGGCTGTTCCCACAGGGATCACCGGACACCCCGCTCTCCTCTCTGTTGTTAACGCCTCCCTCCCCCGCAGCCTTCCCCATCAGCTTCCAGCCCAGCTCCACTCCTCAGAAAGGCCCCACAGGGACTGGGCCTGCTCACTCCTCCCCACTCCCACCCCCTCTCATCTCTCCACGGCAGACTTCTTCACAGAGCTCTGCGCCCCCTGAACCCGCTCCTGGCCGCCACTTCCTCCACCCCCGCCCCCGGCTGCCCCCCTCAGGGTCACGGACACCGCAGTGGGCCCTCGGCAGCGCTCAGCGCCAGCAGCCTCTCAGCAGCGCTGCCACAGCTGATTCTCCCCACTGCGCACGTATGCACAGCATGCATGTGTACATAACATGCATGCGTGTAAGTGTGTGTGCACATAAGGGAGGGCCCATGAGCATGGATGTGCACGTGTGCACATGTTCCACATCTGTAAGTGTGTGTGAATATATGCTTTGTGGGTGTGCAGGCGTGTTTACGCATGTATGCATGGGTACGTACGTGTGTTGTGCACTGCATGTATGTGCGGGTGCTTGTTTACATGCCTGTGTAAATGCCCTCTCATCTGGGCTGTCCGTGGCTTTCCTACCTCCTTCCCCAACTGCTCCACCTCAGCCCCCTCTGCAGGCTCCCCTCCCTCTGGCTACACCTTCTCTCTCCCTCCTGACTCCCTGACCAGGGCGGCTGTTCAGTCTGACGATGTCTGATGCCACCTCCAGCCCAGACCTCGCTTCTGAAGCCCAGACCACATGTCCAGCCCACCCCTGAGCACCTCTCCCAGCGACTGCCAGGCCCTCAGCTCAACATTCCCTCAAGCAAACCCGTTCTTCTCACCCACCCTCACGTCCCAGCTCCAACCTGGGCCTCGCCTCTCCCTCCCCCAGGTGAGGGCTGCCTCCCCTCTCCCCTCCAGGCCGGCGGCTGGTCTGCAGCCTCACTTCCTGCCCCTTATCCCTGGCTTAGATGACAGCATGGCCTCTGCCTGGGCCTCACACCACCCCCTGCTGCCACCACATCAGGGCACTCCTCTCCCTGCAGGGAAGCCCGGCACAGGCCAGCCCCCTGGGCTTGCCCTTCTACCCGGCCTCCACCCACGGCCTGGCGCACCCCCAACGCTCTCACAGGTTCACACAATGGCCGGTGACCCGGCGACAAGGGTGGAAAGTGGACAGAAAGGCCCTAGGTGGGTCAGGGAGAAGAACCTGGCAAGGAGAGGGGAGTGTGCCCCACACAGACCACCCACCTCTGTCAGACCCCATTCACCTGGTCACTATCGCCTCTCCTCTTCCTCCTCCTCCTCCTCCTCCTCGTCCTCCTCGTCGTCCTCCTCCTCTTCCTCCTCTTTCAATCGATCCCGGTCCTTGGAAACGTCACCAAACTCAAAGTTGCCTTCGATGTCCAAGACCTGCAGGTGCTTCAGCCTCCGGAAGGCGCTCTCCACCACGGAGCCCACGGCCAGCTTGTTAAACCTGCAGGCCACCCGCGTGGGTCAGAGCTGGGAGCCCGGCCCCCGAGTCCCCACACTCACCCACCCCTGAAGGGAAGCGGGGGGGAGGGAACGGGTCCTCCAGGAAGATGCACAGCTGACACAGAGGCAGGGGCTGGGAGGCACCGTGTCCAGGGGAGCCCAGGCTGTCCAGGGTGGCTATCGCTTGAGGGAGACGGGGCTGGCCCCGGGCCACTCACCCACACGGTGAGGGAAGGCTCGCCACTGCGTAAGCTCTCACTACAATTTGGGAACCTCCTCTCGCCTGTCCTCTGGCATTAACTCTGAGTCCTGAGCCTGCTGGGCCCAGGTCACCGGGGTGCCTGGTGTGAGGTGGCACTCAGGCAGGGCCAGGGGACGCCCAGGTGTGGGAAGGCAGAGGCTGGGCTCTGACCCCAAGCCCCCTCAACTCTCTGTGCCCCTGTCCCCTGCAGGAGCCAAGCACAGGTCACATCCCCCCCACCCCCCCCAATGTTGCCCAGCCGGGACCCTCTGGGCCACAAAGCCCCTGGCAGACCACACCGCCTCTCTCCAGTAGGTCTCCTCTCTGAGGTAAGGGGGTGGGGATGTTGGCAAGAGCCGCCCTGGCTCTGCTGTACGGAAGCTCCCCATCTCCTTGGGGAGCTGGGCTCCCCGAATTATCCTAAACCCCCAGAACCCCGTGGGGACCTGAGCATCTGCTGCCCTGGGTCTGAAGCCCAGGCTCAGCCCAGCCGATGTGGACTCGGCGCATCGGTGCTCCCTGGGCCTCCGTGTCTCCAGCTGTGAACTGGGAAGGTGCTCCCCGGGACCCCTTCTTCCCACAGCCACACCAATACCGCCAGGCGCACCGCGTGGACTCGAACCCGGACCTCTGCCTGCCGGCGGTTCCCAAGAGCCCCGGCTGCCCCCCCCCCTCCCCCCCGCCAGCGCCAAGGCGGGTGGGGCTCCTACCTGAGAAAGATCCCCTTGAGGTTGGGCGTGGCGTCGAAGGCGTGGGCGGGCACCGTGCTGATCTTGTTGTTCTGCAGGTACAGGTACTCCAGGGACGGGGGGAGCCCCGCGGGGATCTCCGTGAGCTGGTTGCCTGCGATGTCCAGCAGCTGCAGGGGCGGCCAGGGAGGCAAACGCTTAACGACTTGCAAAGACCGCCGCGAACTCTGCCCCCCAACACAGCTAAATCTCACCGTGACCTTGGGAGGCGGGATCTCAAACTACCCCCATTTTCCAGACGGGGAAATAGAGGCTCAGAGGGTAGGTGACGTGTCCAAGGCCACGCAGCCTAGACAAGGTGAGAACCTGGCGCGCCTGATTCCAAACCCTTGTTCCCCGGCTCCTCTGCCGTCCCACGTGGACCCACAGCCAGAATGTCCTTCCTCACTCACACACATGCCACCCCCATCAGAGTGAAGAGCACGAGGGCAGGGACCAGGGGTCCTACTGTCCAGAGGAGGTGGCGTTCAGGGCCATGGGGGTGGCCTGCTCACTTCTGGATCTCAGGGGCCAATGGGCAGGGGTCAGGCTCGGCGTCACCATGTGCCTAATGTTCCAGGAAGCAGGAAACCAGGAAAATGGGGTGTTTTCCTGGAGAGCAGGAGACCTGGATGCGCACGGCCCCGCTCACTGCCCCGCGGCTGCCAGCACACCTTCATCCAACATCACACACACACACACACACACACACACACACACGCACACGTGTGCAGCCCCGGGTGGGCTCCATCATCTCACGTTCCCTTCCCCACCCCAGCAGGCAGGGGCTCAGGGTCAGGAGGCTGAAGGCCAAGAATCCAGATTCAACATGTAAGGGGAGCACGAGCTTCTCACACCACAGAGAGCCCCGTCTCCTCCTCTGTACACAGGCTCCCTGCTCCCCACCTGTTCCCTTCGCACGGCTCAGCACCTCCTCATTCATTCCCGCCTCCTCTGTGCCCGTGGGTGCTGGGGGCACGGAGCCCACTGAGACACTGCCTGCACCCTCAGGAGGCCAGGCCGCAGGGGAGATGGACACGGAACCTGACCAGGACAGCCGGTGGAATGGAGCCGAGACGGGGGAGCTGGAGGAGGACCTGATTCAGCCCAGGGTCAGGGCCGCGGACAGCAGCCAGGGCAGGCGGGGGCTCTGAAGCCGCTGGTAGAAAGATCCAGCCGTGAGAGCAAGCGTCGCCCCCATAGACACCCCATCCCTGACTGAACTCCAGGCCCAGGGAGGTATCTAACCCACCCGCCCCTGTTGGCTTCTGGAGGAGGTGACGCCGGAGTCCCAAGGGGATTGGAGGCTCCAGGAGAGGGGTGCCCCTCCGCCTGTCTTGCTCCCGGCTGGGTCCTCAGTTCTGGAGCTGCGTCTGCTCGTGGTGAGGTCTCGGTACAGACTCACGGGAGGAGTGGATGGGTATCACCAGCGTGGGAGCGGTGGCCCCAGCAGAGGGGCCGGGATAGCAAAGCCCAGCACACCTGGGAGATAAACTCAGCTGGGAGCAGGGCAGAGCAGGCCTTGAAGGCCGTGGCGAGGACTCTGATCTGGGTTCTCAGGGCAGGAGCATAAACTGAGCATGTTTTTCAAGACACCCTCTGACTGCACATGGAATGCAGGGGCAGAGCATTCCTGGGACGGTTGGGTCCAGGAGAGAAATGGAGGCGGGTTGGCTAGGAGTATGATCCGCAGGGATGGAGCGAAGTGGACAAGGTGAGAGGTGATGGAAGAGCTGGCAGGGGCATTGTGGGGCAGACGGCGTGAAAAGGGGATGTCAAGGGCAGCTTCCAGGTGTCACGTGGGCACTAGGGATGGTGTCACCCCTTTTAGTGAGTTAGAAAATGCAGGAGGAGCCGGTGTGAGGGAGAGGACAATGGGGTCTGGACCCCTTGGGAACTGGTTCTGGAGTATACCTATGAGGGGCTGATGGGCACACGGGCTGACTCTGTGTCTGGCACTCAGCAGGGCAGTCTGGGCGAGGAGAGAGACACACACACACACACACACTCTCCTCCCCCAGCCCGCTGAGGCTGCTCCTGTAGGACCAGCTGCCCCCCTGACTCCCACCCTGCTCCATCCTCAGGCTCTGCCTCACCTCCCTGCTCCCCACTCAGACCTCCCTATCCTGGCAGCTGCCCCCACAAGCATGGGCTGGGAGCCTAGCCGGTCGGGGCCTTGGGTCCAGCAGTGAACACAAGAGACGAAAATGCCGGCCTTTATTCTAGAGAAGGGAACAGGCAACAAGAAAGCAAACAGATGACCTCATGCCTGGGAGGGATGCGGGTGATGAGGAAAAACAAAGCAGGGGAAGGAGGTAGGCGAGAAAGACCCCCCAAGGAGGGGACATTTGAGCGTATCCCTAAGAGAGAAGGAGGAGCAAGCCATGGGACACGGGGGCACAGAGGACAGCCAGCAGGCCCGGAAGCCCCCTGGGGGTCCTGGCAGCACCTTGGCCCTGCCTCCCAGGTTTCTCTAGTGAGGTTCCTTCCCTTTGGGCCCTCATTAAGTCAGAGGGGGCGGGATTTCATTGTAAGAAGCTCAATTCTTAAGGCCAGCCATCCTGCCTGACTCCGACCACGGCCACAACAGCCATACCCGTGGCTCGGAACACTTCAAGCAGACGCCCCCAGCCCTCGGAGACCACCTCACCGCCTTGCTGCCCTCCCCCAAGTCCCCCTTCTCCAGGCGCACATTCCTGGGCCTGTGGGTGGGTGAGCATGACGCTCCTGCCACCTGAACTGCCTGCCCCAGTCCCCCTGCCTCCTGAGCCATGGGCCTCTGCCTGGAGCCATGACCCCCCCCCCCCCCTTTACCCCTCAGCCCTCAGCCTGTACCTCCAGTGAGTGAGCTCTGCCTGGCCTCACCACCGTATTGGGCCCTTCACTGCTTCCGGGGCATGGTTTCTGCCTGACCACCCCCCACCCTCCACCCCCATTCCTAAGCAGGTACCCCCTCCCCAGCAGGTGCCTCCCCCCTAGCCCAGTCCCCCGCCCTCCCCTTTACCTGCAGGTGGGCGAGGTCGGCCCAGGCACTGGGGCCCAAGGCCCGGCTGCGCAGCCGGTTGCCCGTGAGGTAGAGCTCACGCAGCTGGGCCATGCCGGCCAGCGCCCCGCGCGCCAGGGCGGCCAGCTCGTTGCGCTTGACCTTCAGCACGTGCACGTTGCGGGGCAGCCCCGGCGGCAGCGCGTGCAGCCGGTTGCCGGACAGGTCCAGCGAGCGCAGCAGGCGCAGCTTGCGGAAGGCGTCGCGGTGCACCTGCGGGCTGGTGATGCGGTTGTAGCTGAGGTTCAGCTCCTCCAGGAAGTAGGTGGCGGCGAAGTCGTCGCGGCCGATGCCGGCGATCTGGTTGTGCAGGATCATGAGCGTGCGCACGCGGCGCGGCAGGCCGCCGGGCACGCGCTCCAGCGCGTTGTTGTACAGGTGCACCGTGTGCAGCCGCTTGAGGCCCTGGAAGGCGCGCGGGTGGATGCCGTGCGCGCGCAGCTGGTTGCTGTGCAGCAGCAGGTACTCGAGGCTGCGGATGGGGGTCAGCACGTCGGCGCCCACGCTGCGGATGGCGTTCTTCTCCAGGTGCAGCAGCACCAGGCTGCGCGGCAGCCCCGCGGGCACCCGCGACAGGTTGTTGCTGGACAGGTCCAGGTACTCCAGGCTGGAGAGCTTCCTGGGGGCGAGGGGACGGGGCAGCTGGCAGAAGCCCAGCCAGCAGGAGCCCGCTCCTGTTCCCACCGCTTCCCCAGAGGACTGCCTCTAAGTCACCCCGTTCTCACGGGGGGACCCCAGCCCTCTCCAGGCCTGCTGGATTAGCCATGACCTTGGTGTAGGAGGCTGTAGTATGGTTTCTGGTTTTTATTTGAAGACCAGTTGTTTAAGATCTTTTTTTTTGGGGGGGGGGGTGAGAGGGGGCTACTTTAGACTCTAAAAAAATAAAATAAAATAAAGTAAGACATGTTTGCCTTCAACAAGAATGTCTGAGTTTCTATTTTGTACCAAGAAGCTGGCCGCTGCCAACGCTTCCCTGCCTCCCTGGAATCCTGGCAGCCTCGTCCCTACACATCGCTTGCTCTTGGGGACAGAGATGTCCGCGGAGGCTCAAGCCTCCACGTTCCCTCTCCAGGGAGCCCGGCCAGGACAGGGGGCGGGAGAGGCCGGTGAGGGGGCCCGGCTGGGTGGGTGGGTGCCGGGAGGGCCTCCCGGGAGGTGCCCGGTGCCGCGGAGGCCGGGCGGGTTTACCAGAAGGTCTCGTTGTCCAGGCCCTCATCCGTCAGGTAGTTGTTCTGCAGGTACAGCTCCCGCAGGTTGCTCAGCTCGCTGAAGGCGCCTGGCGGGATCTTCTCCAGCTTGTTGTTCTGGGGGAGGGGTGTGGGGAGGGGAGCATGAGACGGGGGGGAGGGGCAGGGGCTCCGAGGGCTCTGAGGGAGCCGGGAGGAGCGGGCCGGCCGGGAGCACTGACGGCCGTGTGCCCAGGCTTCTGCCTGCTCCTCCTTAGGGGACGCTGTGCCCTCGGGCATGTGCTGAGGCCCCACGGCCTTGCCACGTGAGCCCCGCCCCCTCTCGGCCCCTGCACTGCCCTCTGCCTCCTACCTTGAGGTGCAGCTTGTAGAGGGCGGGCGGCAGGTGCTTGGGCACGTGGCGCAGGAAGTTGCTGGACAGGATGAGGATCTCCACGTTGCCGGAGCCGTTGAACATGTTGTCCGGCAGCCCGGCGTCGGCCAGCTTGTTGTTGTGCAGGTACACGGACCTGGGGCGGGGCGCAGTCCTCACCCAGCAGGCCCCCGCTCCGCCCCGGCCACCGCCCCGCTCCACCCTCCCTGGCCACGCGCCCGCTCCCCGGGGAGCCTCCAAGCCTGGCTCAGGGTGGGCCTGGGGCCTAGGGCACCTTCCTTCCATCTGAGGCACCTCAGACTCAACCTGATGTAGTCCCCACCCCACCCCGTACCACTGAGGGGACCAAGGGCCACCAGCAGTTGCCCCACAAGTTAGTGGCAGAAATAGGATCTCCTGACCCCCAATCCATGCTTCTCCAAAGCCTTCAAGACTCTCAGTCAGCTGAAACCGGTTTGGCTCAGTGGATAGAGTGTCAGCCTTCGGACTGAAAGGTCCCAGGTTCGATTCCGGTCAAGGGCATGTACCTGGGTTGCGGGCACATCCCCAGTAGGGGATGTGCAGGAGGCAGCTGATCAATGATTCTCTCTCATCAATGTTTCTAATTCTCTATCTCTCTCCCTTCCTCTCTGTAAAACAATCAATAAAATATATATATATTTTTAAAAAGACTCTCAGTCATTCCCTGCCTGTCACACCCACACAGCTGGCTCTGAGTTCCGTGGGACCCCCTGAAGATGCGGCGTGTCCCTCACACCTCTTGTCCCTGGTGCTCAGCACAGGGCGTGGCTCAGAGGGGGTGAGTGTCCCCACATGCCAGGAATGTTCTAGACTCTGAAGGTCTAGCAGTGGACACCACCGCCAAGATCCTGCCCTCACGGAGGTGACATACAGAGGGCCAGGAGACCAGGGCCAGAGGGAACACTCAGGAGACACAGCTCGTTCTCGCTGTGTGCCTCTCTTGGGCCTCAGCCTTCTCATCTGTGCAATGGGAGCCACACCCAGTGACCCTGGCTCCTCAGGGGAGTGGAGAGAGCCGAGTGAGGTGACAGATTCGGGTACAGAAGCGACACCAGGAGTGTCAGTCCCACCAGCCCCGCCCTGCTCCGCTCACTCCTCCCCAGGCTCTGCCCGGGCTGAGGAAGGAGGCATCACCCTCCTCCTCTTGCCTCCTCACCCTCTGGGCCTCAGCCCCTGGAGCCCTGCCCCCGCAGCCCCCGGCGTCTCTCACCACAGCCCTGAGCACGGGCCCTCATGCCTGCACTGCCAGCCTGGCCCTCCTCCCCGGCCCATCGGGGTCCTCTCTGCTCAGCTCCCCGCTCTCCCCAGCCTGAGCCCGGGGCCCCCTCTGACCTCTGACCTCAAGTTTGGCTTCTGGCCAAAGGTGAGCCCATAGATCTTGGTGAGATAGTTGGCAGCGAAGTCCACGCTGACCAGGGTGTTTGGCAGGAACCGGGGGGCCAGGGTCAGCTGGAAAGGGAAGAGTCGGGGCAGAAAGAACGATGGAGGGGAGGCGGTCGGCTCTGGGTCCCACCGCCTACTGCCCATTCAGGCCCCTTCCCCTGCCTCCTCCCAGCAACCACAGCTCCCCTTCCTCTGATTAGACATAGGCCCTCTACGGCTCCCCTGGCGTGGCATTCAAAGCTCGCTAGCCTATCCCCTGCCCTGCTGTCCTCCTGTCCTCTCCCCTCGCTGGCCCCGACACTGTCCAGCCACAGCGAGCACCCACACTCCCCAGACACAGCCCGCGATGCCTGCCCTTCATTCCTTCAACCCTGAGTCTACAACACTCCGGGCAGGGTTCCCGGAGCCCTCTGGGCCCCTCCTGGCAACAAGACCGAGAAGCACCTCTGCCCCCCCCCCCCCAAGCTGACATCCTCATCGTCGTGGAGAAGACAATACACAGGGGATAAAAGGATCTGATGCCGATCACTGGGACGCAGGGAATTCAAACAGCCTGGAGACAGAGCGCCTGGGCTGGGTGCCCGGGGGACAGGGACAGGCACTCCGGCATGACACCCCGTGAGGGCCCTCGGAGAGGCCGGCTCCAAGGCAGCGGGAGCCGCAGCAAACCCAGCGGCGAGGAGGGTGGGGGCAGGCTTGGGGCTGCAGAGGAGCGGAGGGCGTGAGCAGGGCTGTGTAAGGAGAGGCAGGGGGGTGTGGCCTGCATTCTGGGTGGAAGGAAGGCGAAGCCCCCCGGAGGGTTTAGGCAGGGAGGGGGGGTGGAGGGGAGACGCAGGGCACGGTTTTTAAAGGTCACAGCGGCCGCTCTGAGGAGGCAGGGCTGGCCAGGTGGGAGGTAGTGGGGGGGGGGTGTGCAGCACTGCTGGACGCTGTGAGCCAAGCCCTCTGGAGACGCCCTTCAGGGAGACGGAGAGCCGGCAGGAGGGCTGTGGGCTGTGGGCAGGAAGCAGTCCTCCCCCATCAGCCCTCTGGGGAGACTTCCCGGGGCAGAAGGAGCTTCGAGCTCAAATGGGAGGAGGAGGAGGGGCCGGGGAATGCCCCTGGGCGGGCGGTTGTGGAGAGAGGTCAGAGAGGCCAGCACGGAGCTCTGGGCACTGGGCCCAGTGTACTGAGCCGGAGCGTCTCCGTGCCTTCTCTCCTGCCGGCCCTTCCCCGCCAGGGCCGCTGCCTGAAATCCCGAGGCCCTTCACGGCCTTTACAGCTGCTCTCTGCCCACACGGCCCTGGGCTGTGCCAGCCGCGCTCTCCCCCCCCACCCCCGTGTGGCCGCTGTCTTTACTACCGGACGCCCCGACGCCAGGCTGGGGCGTGGGGTACCGGCAGTGCCTGAGCAGCAGCAGGGACTGCGCGGCCCTCACCTTGTTGTTGGCCAGGTACAGGTAATTGAGGCTGGTCAGGTGCTCAAACGCCTCCTCGGGGAGCCCTTCAAAGGACAGGCATCGGTCAGAGCCCTGGATGAAGGAGACGCTACAGGGGAGCACACCAGCGCCACGCCCCAAGCCCACCCTGCGTGCCAGGCCTGGGGAGGGCGCTCCCGGAGGCTCGCCCCAGCCAGGCCCAGCAGGCCTCCCCAGCCCCCTGCCCACAGCGGCCTGCGCTCAGAGGAGCAGGTGGGACAGCGTCCACTGAGGGGTGAGCCACCCGGGTGGGAATGGGTGCCCCCCGTAAGGTCTGGCCAGGGGATGGGGGACCCAGACTAACGTTTTCCGAATCAGGAAGGCGTACTCCCCTGGGGACAGCCCCCCAGGACCAGCAGCAGGGCGGGCAGGGATTCTCCCCAGCACCCGGCCGCCCCTGCCACAGGCAGAGAGGGTCAGGACTCGCTGTCACTGGGGTCCCAGCCAGGCGGGCCCTTCTCAGGCCCGAGGCTCCCAGACCCTCGGATGCTGGGACTCACCCCGTCATCTAACTACGTAAATGGTGCAGCATCCTCCATGGAATAGCTGCCGCGGAGAGATGGCCGCGGAGGGTTTTAGCAGCAGGAGGCATGCTGCCAGCTAACTGCTGGGGGAAACAAAGCACTCACAACAGCGGTGCCGCCTACACTGTCCATCCAGCGAGAAATGGGAAATGCAGAGGAAAGAGACCAGCCTGGATGGTGAGGACAGTTGTGCAACTGGATAAAGGACTGAGACTCATCAAATTGTACCTTTCCAATGGGTAAATCTTACGGTATACAAATTACATTTCCATTAAGCAGCTTCTTAAAAATGGAAAGAAATATGCCAACATGTCAATAGTGATGAACTTCAAGTGGCATTGACTGGGGTTTTTTTTATTTTCTTTTTTATTTTCTCTATTTCCAAACTTTCTATTATAATAAAAATAATTTTCAGCAGCAGTAGCAAGAGAATCGCTTTTTAAAACTTTAGGACTTGCCGAAACCGGTTTGGCTCAGTGGATAGAGCGTAGGCCTGCGGCCTGAAAGGTCCCAGGTTCAATTCCGGTCAAGGGCATGTACCTTGCTTGGTTGCGGGCACATCCCCAGTAGGGGGTGTGCAAGAGGCAGCTGATCGATGTTTCTAGCTCTCTATCCCTCTCCCTTCCTCTCTGTGAAAAATCAATAAAATACATTTAATAGCAAAAACCGGTTTGGCTCAGTGGATAGAGCGTTGGCCTGTGGACTGGACGGTCCCAGGTTCAATTCCGGTCAAGGCCATGTACCTTGGTTCCGGGCACATCCCCGGTAGCGGGTGTGCAAGAGGCAGCTGGTCAATGTTTCTAACTCTCTCTCTCCTTTCTCCTTCCCTCTATGTAAAAAATCAATAAAGTATATATATATATATATATATATATATATATATATATATTAAAAAAAAAAAAAAACACTTGAGGACTGTACAACTCTGATTATAAAGTCCTCTGTGACCTGAAGAGTCCACCACAGAGGTCTCTGAATCCTCTCCCGAGTCAGAGACTGCCAGGGGTGGCTTTTAGGCAGCATCGGGACCCACTGCCGCCCAGACCCGCTCGGTCCCACCCCGGGGGCGCCCGGCCGGGCGGGCCCTCACCTCGGGAAGTCAGGCGGTTGTTCTGAAGGTTCAGCGTCTCCAGGCGGTGCAGCCGGGAGAGCTGCTCGGGGAAGATCTTCTCCAGCTGGTTGTTCTGGGGGGCGGGGCGGGGTGGTGAGGAGGCAGCACGGGGAGGCCACCATCCTCAGCCCCAGGCCTCGCCCTGGCAGGCAGGCTCTGGGAGCTAGGACCACGAGCATGGGGTCCCCCTTCTAGGAGGCCACATCCACAGTTCACATCCCACTGGGTGGCAGCCCATTCGCCCACAGGCCCGCTGTTGGTTCCCTCTCTGGGCTGCCTCCCCACTCCCCTGGCAGCACTTTAAAACCCGGGCGTAGTGCCGCCTCCTCCAGGAGCCTTCCCGGGTTGGATTGTGAGTAGGAGCTGCTCCGGGCTCACAGCTAGTCCCTCTGTCATCCTCTGTCATCCTCTCTACTTGTCCCGTTTACTGCCTCCACCACCTGGGAGGGCCGCTGGCAGGGTATGTCCGAGTCCTCTGCATGTGCCCAGCACCCACACGGGACCAGAGGGGAGAGCAGGTGTCCAGGAGATGTTTTATGAATGGAGGAGCGAGTGAATGAGCCAAAAATAAGTATTGTCATCAGCTTGTCCCTTACCCTCAGAGGCTGCCCTGGCCGCGGGCTCCCACCTCCGCCAGCCCGGCCCACAGGCCTGTGTGCTGGTGAGCGGTCCCTTTCCGTCACTGCTCCTCTGGAAATGGACGTACAGCCTTGTCCTCGCCCCAGGGGGACCGGGCAGCACTCCCAGGTCCCATCGGAACTCCTGTCCCGCTTCCTCTGCCTCAGCTGGAGGGAGCACGCTGCCCTCTGAACCCCCAGAGCCCTCTACTGGGGTCCGCTTTGCTCGTGCTCTCCTGCCTGCAGTGGTGTCTGGGGGCCAGCTGCTGGGCAGCTTTGTGTCCATGACAGACCAGGCCTGACTTTACGTACGGGCCTCAGCCAGGACTCCTCCCAGGGAGCAGCAGGTTATAGCATGTGCTCAGTGACCTAGACACTCCACGTGGAGCTAGATCCTCATGTCTGACCTGCTCCAGCGCCCCAGGTCTGGGGGTGAGGAGCCAGGAGCACTGGGTTCTGGGCCGGGAGCCGTGAGTGGGGGGTTCTGGGCCGGGAGCCGTGAGTGGGGGGTTCTGGGCCGGGAGCCGTGAGTGGGGGGTTCTGGGACAGGAGCCGGGAGTGGGGGGTTCTGGGACAGGAGCCGGGAGTAGGGGGTTCTGGGACGGGAGCCCTGAGTGGGGGGTTCTGGGACAGGAGCCCTGAGTGGGGGGTTCTGGGACGGGAGCCGGGAGTGGGGGTTCTGGGCCGGGCGCCCTGAGTGGGGGTTCTGGGCCGGGAGCCGGGAGTGGGGGGTTTTGGGCCGGGCGCCCTGAGTGGGGGCTCTGGGATAGGAGCCGGGAGTGGGGGGTTCTGGGCCGGGCGCCCTGAGTGGGGGTTCTGGGCCGGGAGCCCTGAGTGGGGGCTCTGGGCCGGGAGCCCTGAGTGGGGGGTTCTGGGACAGGAGCCCTGAGTGGGGGGTTCTGGGACAGGAGCCCTGAGTGGGGGGTTCTGGGACAGGAGCCCTGAGTGGGGGGTGCTGGGCTGGGAGCCGTGAGTGGGGGTTCTGGGCCAGACGCCCTGACTGGGGGTGCTGGGCCGGCGCCCTGAGTGGGGGTTCTGGGCCGGGAGCTGTGAGTGAGGGGTTCAGGGCCGGACGCCCTGAGTGGGTGCTGCGCCCTCACCTGCAGGGACAGGTGGTTGGTGAGCTCAGGCAGGTCCCCCGGGAACTCGCGCAGGTCGATGCCGCCACAGTCCACGACGCCCTCCTGGGAGCAGGCGCAGTCCCGGGGGCAGTTGATGGTGGCGGGGCCGGGCCCCGGCTCCTCACGCCTCAGGACCAGCACGGGCTCCTCCTCCACAAACTCGTTCTCCTCGGGGCTCAGGCTGTGGGCGCCGTGTCGGCCAAACACAGGGGCCCTCACCGCCAGCACCGGTCCCAGCGGCAGCTGTGGAGGCAGCAGCAGCAGGAGCAGCAGCGCCCTGCTCCGGGCCATGGTGCCTGCAGGAGGGCTGCGTCAGACCCGCCTGGGAGCCGGGCTGGCCTCGCCTGTGGGCACAGCGGGCGCAGGGCTGGGCCACAGACGTGCTCATGGGGCGCGAGGCAGAGCCCACGCTGGATCCTGTCCTCATCACGCATCTGACCTGGGGGCTGCTGTTCCCCCAACCTCATCCCCCCAGGCCCCCATCAGGGCTGCCCCCAGGAGGGTTGGGGCGAAGGGAAGATCTGCAAAACCTCCACAAGCCTCACCAGGCCGGGCCCACAGAATCTGCCTCCTTCACGGAAGGTCCAGGCAGCACTGAGCTGTGCGGGGCTTGGCCTGGGCTTGGCAGAGCTCCCCGCCGGCTGCCACAGGCCATGGGGCCCGGCCAGCAGCCAGCCGTTCCAGGTCCTCAGATCATGGCCCCGCCCGTCTTCCAACTCTCGCACCCACCTGCCCCCATTAGACGCGTCTCTTTGGTAGTTCCGCCCTCCAGGCCTGGTTCCTTTTCCTGGAATGCCCTCCCCTCTCTTGTGCAATCGGCAAGTTCTCCAAGAAATTCCAGCGCTGTGTCCCCTGGGCAGACTCTGACGTGCCCCAGGGCTCTCCATGACTGCGCCCCCCTCCCACCGGGCATGGATGGGGTGGGTTATGAATACATAATGTTGTGTCTTTCTCCTACAACAGTGAGTCCGGGCGCAGAGTAGGCATCCGTGACCGGAGCTGCTGCCGCCCCAGAAGCTCCCAAGTCCCATTCCTGGTGCTGGACACTCAGCTGAACCTCACCAGGGCCTGCTGTGCTCACATGACCCCTACCACCTGCAGGAGGCCACTCCCGGCCTGGTCCCCTGGGGCGGGGGGGGGGGGGGGAAGGGGGGGCGGTGAGACACACACAGACGATAGTTCCAGACCATTGAGGAAGATGCTGGTTCCATTGTCCCAACAGCCCAGGAGTTCTCTTCAGGGACGCACTCAGAAAACCTCTCTGAGGTAGGTGAAGTCCACCAACCCCAGTGCCAGTCCCCGTCCTCCACCTAACAGCTCTGACCTTGCTGAGCCTCAGCTTCCTCATCTCACAGTTGGTCCACCTGAGCTCGCAGCCTCCGTGAGGAGTCCTGAGTCACAGCCGCAAGCACCTGGCCCCATCAGGTGCCGCGCTGCCATCAGTGCTGCAGAGGACACAGCGCAGGCCAGTGCCCGGGCCTGGGGCACTGCTGCTCAGTCTGAGCCCATCAGAGCCTAGAAGGGTCTGAGAGAGGGTGGGCCGGGAGGTACACTGGAAGCTTATGGGGACACACGGATGTCTGGTTAAGAAGGTGGGCTCTGGCTGAAACCAGTTTGGCTCAGTGGATAGAGCATCGGCCTTCGGACTGAAAGGTCCCGGGTTCGATTCTGGTCAGGGGCGTGTACCTTGGTTCTGGGCACATCCCCAGTAGGGGGTGTGCAAAAGGCAGCTGATCAATGTTTCTCTCTCATCGATGTTTCTAACTCTCTATCCCTCTCTCTTTCTCTCTATAAAAAAAAATCAATAAAATATATTTTAAAAAAGAGAGAAGAAAAGAAGGCAGGCTCTGGAGCTCAGCCCTGGCTCTTAGCAGCTGTGGGACTTGGGTAAGGTGACCAGACATCTCACTTTTGGCAGGACTGTCCCAACTCAGGGGTGAGTGTGGACATCCTCTGAACCTCAGCTTACGCACCTGTCCCTGAGCTGGTAGCGGGGGTGTCCTAAAGAAAAGAGTGAGATTCCGTGGGATGTGTGTGCTCAGTAAATGTTAGCTCTTCCTACCGTTACTATCTCATCGGTGGGTCTTGTTCCCATTTCAGCCCCAGCACTGCCCTTTCCAGAACCCCCTGCTTCCTTCCCTTCCTGATTGTGCTCTGTGGTCCAGTCCCAGCCCACCTCCTCCCGAAGATTTGAATGGTGTGAGGACAGAGAAGAGGGGTGGCCATCGGGCTTGCTTGACCTTATAGGTCCCCAGACTTGGGCCCCAGCCCTGGCCTGGCAGAGAGCCAGGGAGCCCAGCACACACAGAGCCCTGGGTTGCAGCCCGGCCCTATGCCCACCCTCCCACATACTTGCTGCCCCCGGCCCCTGACCAAATGGACGGTAAATCCTCAGCCAGGCTACAGACCTTCATTCCCGTGGCACATTATAACCCCCGGCAGGCTCCACAGCCTTCAGCCCCTGGGTCCCCCAGCATTGCTCTGTCTGCTCTGCTCAGAACAGGACTCTGGGAGGGGGAAAGGGCACAGGCTCAGGCCCCACATTCAATCAGGGCCAAGGTAAGGTGACCAGACGTCCCGCTTTTGGCGGGACAGTCCCGATTTTTAACCATTTGTCCCGTGTCCCACCGGGACTTTGTAAAAATGCTGCGGGACGCGGGACAAATTGTTAAAAATCGGGACTGTCCTGCCAGAAGCAGGACGGCTGATCACTTTAGGCAAAGGGCCAGGGAAAAGGAGTCTCCCCGCACATCCTGTGCACTCCGGGACCAGCTGTTTTCCTCCTTCGGTTTGTGTCTGTGTAGGTCTGCAAGCTGTGTCTGTAGAAATGTTTCATTTATATTAACACATGAGCCACATTGAAAATGTTATCATCACCACTTTATAGATGAGCGAGCTGAGGCGCAGGGGGAGTGGCCAGGGTAACACAGCTGTTACCCGGCAACGCTGAGCTCCCAGCCAGGTTTTGACCACGATGCTGTGGTTGATGCAAAATACAGCTGGGCCCTGAGGACCAGGACAGCCCACGCAGGGGTGGTCTGCCCTGAAGCAGCTCACCCCTGCACTCATCCGGTGTGGCTGCCACATGTGGCTACTGAGCACTTAAATGTGACCAGTCTACACTGAGAGGTGCTGTATGTGTAAAATGTAGTGACCATGGGTTTCAAAGACTTAGCACAGAAAATGTAAAATATCTTATTAATATTAGTGATCATAAAATAGCTCATTTATCTTTTTTCTTCCTTTTTTGTTGTTTCCCCCCCCTCACTTGAGGATATTTTAAAATTGATTTTGAGAGAGAGAGGAGGGGTAAGGAGAAGAGAGAGAGGAGAGAGAGAGAGAGAGAGAGAGAGAGAGATTGTTCTGTTGCCTCCTATACGTCCCCTGATTGGGAATCAAATTCAAAACCTAGGTATGTTCCCTGATTGGGAATCAAACCTGTGACCTTTTGGTATAGGGGATGATGCTCCAACCAACTCCGCCATCCGGCCAGGGCACTGGTTTATTTTTTTATTGATGACATGAGAATATTTTGGATCTATTGAGTTAAGTTATTAAAACTCATTTTACCTGTTTCATTTTGCTTTTCTACTGAGGCTTCCAGAAAACTTTACATGTGAGGCAGACTTGCATTTGTGGCTCACACATGTTTCTTTCAGACATCGTGCGTAGACTGTGTGATGAAGGGAAGCCAGAGGAGGCCTAACCTGCCTGTGGCCGAGAAGACTTCCCAGAAGCAGCGATGCCTCTGTAGCCGTGAGGGGTGAGAGTATCAGGTGAAAGGCAAAGGGTGACACAAGCCAGGGGTGCACAGGCCCGGGGACCAGAGAGCCCGTTATGGCCTCTGAAAAGCTCACGGTCTGGCAGGGGCTGGAGACTGGGAGTGATGCAAGTGGACAGCGGCCACAGTCCAGGCGAAGGAGGGACTGGAAAGCCAGGCCAGGGAGAGTGAGCCTTCTCTCCGGGGAGAGGAGGAGCTGTGGGAGAGTGTGGTGCAGGCAGACTTATGGGTGGACCGGTGTGGAGCCTTCAGAGGCTGTGCAGTGTGCAGGCAAGGGCTACCAAGCCTGTTCTGGACAGACAGGGAGGTGCTGGGCTGCAGGGACAGAGAGGGAGCTGGATTTGAGGGAAAAGAATAGACAGTGTTTGCCCTAACCTGTTGGCTCAGTGGAGAGAGCGTCAGCCTGTGGACTGAAGGGTCCTAGGTTCAATTCCAGTCAAGGGCATGTACCTTGGTTGCAGGCACATCCCCAGTAGGGGGTGTGCAGAAGGCAGCTGATGGAAGTTTCTCTCTCATCGATGTTTCTAACTCTCTATTCCTCTCCCTTCCTCTCTGAAAAAAAAAAATCAGTGAAAAATAAAATAAAATAAAATAAAATAAAATAAAATAAAATAAAATAAAATAAAATAAAATAAAATAGACAGTGCTTGAAGAGTGGTGACCCAAGTGCCACTCCTCCTCCTCCAGCTTGACCCGTCACCCGTAGGACCTTGGAATCCTGAGCCGCTCCAGCTCCACTGTCTGGTTTGCTGTGTGGCCTCGGCTACATCTCAGACCCATCAAGGTCTCAATTTTTGGTGTTATTGTTGTTCTAAGACTGTTCAGCAACTGTTCGGCCCCGTCTATGTGCCCGCCATGTTGGTGCTGTGTGTGGAAGAGGAGAGAACTGACCCCTTGTGTCTGGAAGTCCCGGAGTGAAGAGTCCCCCTGGTGAGGATCAGCTCGCACCTTTGGGAAAGCTCTGAGCTCTGTCTGGGCGATGGAGCTGGGAACTCTTCATGAGGATGAAATGAAATGACGTGCCCTGCTGGTGCTGGCACTCAGCGCCTGTGACATTCACACCCGGGGCTATTGTTACTGTACCTGGGACCCCCTACCCCGCCACCCCAAGGGCTAAGCGTGGGATTAAAGCAGGAAGAAGACGGAAGGGGAGGGTAGATCCCAAGTCAGCAGGCAGAGCCTCAACCCAGCACCACCTTCCTCCTCCACCCAAAGTCAGTAAAGACTCGCTGATCAACTGCTCTGCGCTGGGCCCCCAACAGCTAGCTACATCGTACAGACCCAACAGAAACCCCAAGCTGAGAAACTGAGGTGAGGGGTGCCACTGCTGCCGACCCCCAGCAGGCTCCTACTCAAACGCCCCTCCTGCTGGCTGGGCTGCTCCTGCTGGCTGGGCTGGGTTCCGAGTTCCTCGGGGCTCCCACAGCACCCTGGCCCACACAGAGGGGGCTCAGGAAATGTTTGCTGGATAAAGAAACGGGTTTGTGGAAGGCCGAGGTGGAAAAGATCTGCAACCTTGTCTGGTCTGATCCCCTCCGTTTACAGGCAAGACCCGGACTACAGTTTGTGTCTTCTGGCTCCTGCCAAGAGCCTTGAGCTGGTCTTGAAAGCTGAGTAGGGGTTCCCCAGGAGGAGGGGGGGTGGGGGGCATCCAGACAGGGCTGGGGGCGGAGAGGCTGCGCAAAGGCGCGGTGTAGGGATGGGGAGGAGGGAGGAGGGATGCTTAAGGAGGGTCACCAGGAAGAAGGTCCCAGGGCATCAGCCACTATCCTAAGGTGCTGGCGATAGAGCGCCATCAAGATGCCAGGCAGGTCCCCGGTCAGAGCTCTTGTGTATGACTCCACCGGGCCCAACGGTGTCCCCATCAGCCACCCTTGACCCTAAGCCAGGTAAGAGGACAAAGCGCGCTCCCACAGCTCTCCTGAAGTCGTGGGACCCTGACACGTCTTAGCTTGCGTTCTAGGCTGGAGGGCACGGGGCCCGGGGCCTTCCGAGGGGACGAGCCCGCTCGGCCTCCTTTCCCCGGCGCCCGCAGCGCCGCGCGCGTCCCTCTGCGCCTCCCGGCCCCGCAGCGTCCGACCGTCCGACCGTCCGACCGTCGGACCCTCAGCGCCACACGCGCCCCGTCCAGGCTCCCCTCCCGAAGTTCGGGGTGCAGCTGCCCCCGCCCGCAGCCCGGGGCCCCTCCTCCCCGCCGGACGCACACGGGTCCCGGGACCCGCACCCGGGTGCTGCCGCACCGGAGAGGCGCCGCTCCCTCTGCCCCGCGTCCCCGCGTCCCTCCCCGGTCAGGCCGTCCCGGGCGGCGGCCCGCGGCGGGGGCGCCGGGCAGCGCGCCCCGCGGGAGGGAGCCGAGCCCCAGGCGGGTCCGGAGGTGGAGGCGCGGCGCCGCCTCACCTGCCCGCCGGGAGCAGCCTCTGCCCTCGCCAGGCCTCCCTTTCCGCGTCTGTGGAGAGGTCCGGGGGACTGGCTGGGATGAGCGAGGTGAAAAGACCCCTGGGCCCGGCTTTGGGTCCGGGTCCGCTCCCTCCCGCCCCGGTCCACCTGCCCTCGCAGTCCGGCCCCGCCGCGTCCTCCCGCGCCCGCCGCCGCCCTCAGATTCCTTCCAGATGCGCGCGGGGAGGGGCCGGGACCAGCCTCCGGCCCGGAGCGGACAGGCCCGGCCGCGCCGAGCGGAGGGGTCGCCGCCCCGCGGGAGGGGGCGCCGCCCGCCCGCCCGCCCGCCCGGCCCTCCGCGCAGCGCCCCGAGGGGCGAGAGGCGGCGGCCCGACCCCGCGGTCCGCGCCGGCGGGAGGTCCGCGCCCGCTGCCGGGGCTCGGCCCCGACACCCCCGCATGCACCCCCGCGCCGCCCCCGCGCCCCCGGCCCCTACCTGCCGCGCCCCGCCGGCCGAACGCGCCGCGCACACTCCCCGCCGCGCTCCGCGGGCGCGGGCTCCTGCCATTCAAGTCCGGCCGTGCGCTCGGCGCCGCGAGTTTTGTTGTGGGTTCCCTCCCCCCCGCCTCTCCCCCGCCCGCCCCCCCGCCCCGCGAGCATCTGCCGGACGCCGGCTGCCCCCGGGCCCGGGCGGGGGGTCCCCATGGGCGCGGAGGCGAGGCCGGCCCCTGCCCCACGTCGGACCCGATCGGGGCCCACTTCCCTGGGAGGCAGAGCCGCCGGGCCGACCCCTGTCCCCGTCCCGGCGCTGGCGGGGCCGCCGACCACTCCCTCCACCCCGTCCCCCGCCCAGGAGCCTGGGAGGGCGGGGTGTGTGTGCAGCCCGCGCCGCTTTCTCGTTCCCATCCTTCCGCAGCGGAGCGGGACCCCGTTGGGCCCCAGCACCTGAGCGAGGGACGGGGAGCGGGCCCCTTGCACCGGGGCCTCTGCGCTCGGCTCCTTCCTCAGCACGGGTTTTGCAGCCGCTCCAGGCGCGAGTACCTTTCCGTTCCCTCTCCCACCCCGGGGTCCTGCGCCGCGGCTAACGGGGCCGCCCGCCAAGACCCTGTTGAGTCGCTTCCCGGAAAAGCTCCCGGCCCTCCCCACACTCCTTACCCCCTCCTTGGCCCCGGGCTCACAGCCTGGTCAGCCTTGAGGGGCGGTAAGTTGAGCAGGGTGTGGGGTGCATGCGGATCCCAGTCGCAGGGAGACAATGGGGGCGAGGACTGAGCCCTCGCCATGCTGCTCCCAGGAGCTGAAAACGTTTCCAAGTCAGGGAGCATTAACTGCTAGCAGCTGAAGCAACACTGTTTGGCGCCAGGGGCTTTGGCAGTTGAACGGGGCAGGGCTGGTTTTCGGTGGTACTTGGCACCTCCACTGCCTAACAGGGCTTTCTTCCCGCCCCTCCCCCCACCTGCTCTGGCCTTGTGGGCAGGGCACCCACAACTACCTTCCCGAGCTGCCCTCCTATTGCAGAGGGAGAAGTAACTCAAACTTGGGGTCACTTGCTCAACCTAAATGGCCAAGGTCGAGAGAATGAATGAATGGCTCATGTAAATGCTCCAGGCCTTTCACTGGCTTCTGCTGCCACACCTGATTGTACCACACGCTTACTCTGCCCTTGCCACAACCCGCAAGAGAATTGCCATTACCCAGTTCGCTGATAAGGAGGCAGCCTTCGAAAGGATGTGGTGGAGTAAAATGACCAGTTTATCCTTCCCCAACAGCTCAAGTCCTTTCCACGATGGAAACAGGTAGGTGGTTTAAGCAGGCAAGTGCAGAGGCTGGGTTTGAACCCAGGACGGTTTGTTTCCATTATCTCAAAAACTCAAGAATTTAACAGGAATGGGAAGGGGAAATATTTTGCCTTCTTTGGTCTCCTAATGCTGAGCTCAAATTTATGAGCATTGGTATGATTCACAGATTGGACAGGGGCCAACACCGAGATGCATCTCGGGTCTTCTCAACGTTGAGCTTAGAGTCAAATGGAGCTAGAACAAGGTGCCACTGGCTTGAATGCCCATGGATTAAGGAAAACCTTCTAGAAGAACAATGAGTTCCTACTACGTGCCAGGCATAGTGTTAAGTCCTTAAACATTTCATCATCTCAACACTGTGGGGAAGGCACTCTGTTTCCTGTAACTGCGGAAGCCAGCCAGAGGGCACCCCACACACCCGGCCCCTCGCCTGGACCCCAAGAAACAGGCTCTCCTGTGGAATGCCAAGCTAGCGCATGCCCACTCCTGCTCGGTGGCTGCCCAGTGCTGTAGACACGGGTAAAACCACCCGTCTGGAGTGTAATGTGGAGGGAGCGCTTTGAGTGACTCTGGTGGGAAATGGAGGTGACCCCGGTGCTCTCAAAGCAAGCCCTCTTCCTTGCAGAAGGGCTGGAAGGACAGGTCTCCTGAACCTACGTGTGCTGCTTTGGCTCCTTTGTGCTGCCCCCCCCCGTCTCAGCTCCTGTTGAAGCGCACAGTGTCAAGTGCCAGCTTCAGACTTAGACTTGTGTTCAAATCCCAGCAGGGTCCAAGGAAGATAAAAGCAGTACCCATACCTCATCGAATGTCTAAGGTAATGAGAGCACGGAAGCAGAGGACTCAGCACAGCACCTGGCACATGGTAACTGGCCAATGAAAGGTAGCTGCTGTTATTATAAACCATCACCAAGACGTGACTAAACATGCAGGAAAACAGGTATTAAAACAGAAATGGCAGGTAATGAGGATTATACAGAAACCTCTGCATTGCCCAGGTTGGTGCCTTCTGATTCAAAACAATAAGAAACAAGAACACTCAAGAGGGAAAGAAAATGACATACATATATGGCCAGACAGCTAGGGGTAAAGGAAAAGATTATCCTGAGGATCTGATGAGGAAAAAGGGGTCATAAGAAATAAGATGAGGGAGGTGAGGCGTGGCGATACTTCATCATCAGAGGAAAAAATTCCTTTTACTCTGAGGACTCAAAACCTTTCCTTACTGAGTAGAGTAGCAGAGTCCCAAATACCGAGCTATGGCAGCAGCTTGATTTTCTGGACATTTAGAAATCAAATCACATGGTGTTGTTTTGTGTATATGGATTCCATCTGAAGGATCTTGCTAAAAGGCATTACATAACAAGCAGGGTATGATGGAAAAACCACAGGCCAAGTCAGGGGCAGAAGTCTTCTGGGCTCCTGTAACATCCCATACAAATACTGTTGGACTTTTCTGCCATCTATTGTTTTCATCTCTTTCCCCCAGTGGATTGTAAACCCTCCAGGGCATGAACCTCATCTTACATTCTGTATACCTAAGCTAATATGTCTAAACCAATTTTTTGGCTTCTAAATCTTAGGTTCTGTAAGGTCCCTTTCTAGCCCCAAAACACCATCGTTGCCATAGGCAGAAGGAACCTCCAAAGATGTCCATATCCTAACCCAGTGGTCGGCAAACCACGGCTAGTGAGCCACATGCGGCTCTTTGGCCCTTTGAGTGTTCTAACGCCACTTCTTCAAAATAGACTCGCCCAGGCCGAAAACCGACTTCTGTGCATAGGCCACGGGGTTTCAATCACACTACGTGCAAGCCCACACGTGGTATTTTGTGGAAGAGCCACTCTCAAGGGGCCAAAGAGCCGCGGTTTGCCGACCACTGCTCTAATCTGTAGAGCCTGTGACTACGTTACACTACCTGCCAAAGGAACTTCAAATGGGAGTTTATCCTAGATTGTCCAGATGGGCCTAACCTAATCACACCAGCTCTTCAAAACAGAACTTCATCTGGCTGGAGGCAGGAGAGATGAGGCAGAAGGGGCATCAGAGAGATTTGAAATGTGAGGACTCAACTAGCTTTGAAGATGAAGGAAATACAGGCAGCCAGCCAGGAAAGCAGGGACTTCAGTCCTGCAGCAGCAGGCTCCGCATTCTGCCAACGTCCTGAAGAGTGTGGAGCAGATTCTCTTCCAGGGCAGCCAATTCCTTCAAGTAAGAGTCCAGGGCAGCCAATACCTTGACTTTGGCCTCGTGAGATCTGGAGCTGAGAAACCAGCCAAACCTACCCAGACTTCGGAACTACATAAATTTGAGTTAAGCCACTAAGTCTGTGATAATTTGTCACAGCAGCAATAGAAAACTAATACAAACGTTATTGAAACTGCATTTTCCCACACATCATTTCACTAAATCTTCACAATAAACACGACAGTGTTATTCTCTCCTTATTTTAGGAAACTGATGCTCGGAGGAGGATAAGCAACTTGCTCAGGTGACCAGCTAACAAATACTTGAGCCACAAATCAAACTTTGGTCTTCAGGTTCCAATTCCAATTCCACACTGCGCTACCATCTGTGGCCTTAAATCTACCTTAAGATAAATTAAAAAATGGACTAAAAAATACAGGACAAAAATAAAAGAAAACCGGGCTGCTTTCACACAGTGAAAATGTAAAAGCTTTTGAATTCTCCTTTCTGTTTCTTCCAAAGATTTCACGTCGGGGAACAAGTCAGAGCATAGACAAGTAGACATAAGGTGCACGTCTTCCTCCTGGCCCAGAGAAGGAAAAAAGACTTATAAATGGCAAAAGGAGAAATCCTCAGAAGAGTGGCTGTCGAGGAACTATTTCCTCACATTGAGATGCTCTCTCAGCCGTCGCTAAGGCATGTCTTCCACAGTGAATGCAGCTGGGTTTTGGGATATCTCTGTGGTGGGAGAGTTCAGACTACTTGTGACCAATTTTTATTGTCAGGGAGTTCGCCTGATTTTCAGCCTGAATTTTCCCTTTTTAATATGTCTTCCCTTTACTCCTAATAACAAAGAATAAGAAATCCTTCCCCTCTTTGGTCTTCCCATTTCTTAAATATTTGTGAACTGTTATCAGACTCTGCTCTTGGGTATCATTTTGCCAAGCTGAAGTCTCCTAAATCAGCCTTTCTCTTCTACTGCTGTGTCGTCATGTCTGAACTTCTTTCCCATTTATTTGAGGACTAATGAGGCATTTAATCTTGAACCAAGAATTCTGTACACTACCGAAGGGGCCATAGTCTAAAAGGTAAATTATACAATAACCAACTTGGTGGTTGGCTAGAACGAGTACACTTACCGCTTGCTTCTCTGCCTGCAATTTAAATAAATAGCAGACTACAGTGAATTCCCCCCAATTTTACATAAAAGTTTTTGGCCACAAATCCAGGCACTAAAAGGTCAAGTATTTACTACATGCTGCTGAAAACAGCACTGTGAATATTTACAAAGTATTTAAATGACTATTAATAGAACAGACAGACTAAATAGACATCACTTTTTGCAATAAGTTTTGGATATGACACATTTAAAAAGTATATTTCTCCAAGAAGTCTGAATAAAACTCCACACCAAATTAAACTCCCTGCCAAATGGAATCAGACGCCACATTTGTTAAGGGCCAGAAACCTGGCCCAATAGTCTCTGCTCTTACCAAGAACTAAAGAGCTGTTTGTTTGCCGCCGTCTCCAGATAGATATTAATACTGGGCCTTTCCAGTAGATTTTGTGACTCTCTATTGAGAAAAAC